TCATCAATGGGTTTGTGTACTTGGCCAACCACTGTCTCCACATCGGTTTCCCGGGCTACGCCATGAAGCCCAAAATCCATCTGCTGAAACATCTCTGTGTGCATCTTCAGCAGACTTTTATTGGGGGAGCTTTCTGCACAGTAAACCCAATTTGCTATGGAAATGAACAGAACGAAGATTACATCGGCAAGGCATGCAGGCTCGCCTGCCAAGTGAGTTCGCAGCGTGAGTGCGAGCGAGTCTTGGGCTGCCTCCTGCTCAAAGGGGGCCTCTTGTTTGAGCAACGCAAGGGCAAGGTGCGGTCAATCAGACAGCTGAGCACCAGGCCCCGGCCATGAAGACATCTGGCCATGGGCAGGCCAACCCAAAACCCCCACAACATTGAAAGCTGGACAACTAAACAACGAAACCTGGACAGCTGAACAACGGTTTTTACACCGTAGCTACATGTTGATTACCTGGTTGGCTGCCCTTGGACCAAATGTGCTGCAGGCAGCGCGCAAGTGCCCGCAGAGAGTGGAAAAAGAAGATGCTGCTGACCTTGGCAAGCCACCCCCCCAGGCTGCGAGCGATAATTCTGTGAGAGAGCGTTTCTCAACCCTCCGGGCGATACTTCTTGCCTTCTCACGAACGAGCGATAATTCTGCACCACCGGAGGTTCTAGGTATTTATATGTGTATATACGATTCGACGATAGGTAGATAGACATAGGTATGTAGTATATAGATACATGGTATATACAAAGGAAGTCTGTACAAAGGGGTCCCCACAAAATGCAGTTGCCAAGGGTCGATCTTCCTTGGCTGAGGAAGATCGCAAGGAGCTCGCGGCTCGTGCTGGCGGTGCCGGAGTTGTACCTGTTGCTGGCAGGGCTCTTGGCGTCCCTTCGGCGGCTTGTCTTCGCTGGCAGCCGTTGTTTTTTCTTGTTTTTTCTTTTTCGGTGCTTTGGGTGGACCCACCTTCAAAGGGTCCGGAGGGTCATATCTGTGTTTTTTGGACGAGTGAAACATCCATCACCTTTCAGGGCCCAATTTGTAATGGTGTTTTCAGCAGCCTGATTTTGGCCAATACGGCGGTTGTGTCACCGGGTAGGGCCAAGGTCCTTTCGCACCTGTTTGTTTGTCGCTTATTTATTTCCAGCTCAAAAACTTAAGCATAAAGCAACACAACAGCACGGTTGTTCCTACCCCCTTCCCATTTTTCCAGCAAGGGCCATCTTCTTCGGTGGTCTCCTGCTGCTCTTCTGTCTCTTCCTGTGGTCTCTGGTGGCCGTGGAAACTCTGCACCCGGTCACCGCCAGCGTGGCACGAGAGCGCTGCGAGCGCTGCCCCCAAGCCTTCGCCAACGTGCCTCGGTCGGTTTCGAGGGCGGTGGAGGCGACGTTGCCCAGGGTAGTCCTTTGCAGAAAATCCCATGTTTTCCTTGGCGCTTCCCAGCTCTTTAGGCTTTTCGTGGGTTTTTCGTTGGTTGGTTGGGTTTCCATTCAATCCACCAAAATTAGCAGGGCATTTGAGGACAGCCCAGTTTCGGGTGGTGAACTATTATAATTTACCCACATGGTTTCTACCCCCCCCCACCCTCAAGAAAGGGAAATGGGAAAGTAAAGTAGGGTATATTCCCCCATTTTCCTTGGGTAACGTTTTGCGGGGAGTGGATTGGACGCTTTGAGAAAAAGCTTTTCCACTTGCGGGTGCCAGGTGCCTTTTATGTAACAAGCCAGGGTATGATCGATTGCCGTTGGTTGGGCCTTTCACCTCGGAATCGTGTGTTGAAAAGTCCCGGGGTAGGCGTTTAGGATTTAACCTTGATTTTTTGAGTACACGTTCAACCGTTTTACCCTTTGCAGTTGGGTGAACGTAGATGGCACAATTAAACTCTGTGGATCTAGTCACCCCTTTACCCGGCCAGCACTGTGTCTCCTTAAGCTTCCACTGGACTGAGAAGAGGATGAACAACTACTCATAGCGTACGTCCATATTCATGACCAAATCTTGTTTTCAAGCACCCCGCAACCTGCATTCTTATCCATGCCTTCATGGCCTCTCAAACTGGTGTAATTTGTTTGCAGGTGTGGCAGGCGCTGCTAACACTCTTCCAACACACGGCGCCACGGCTGGATGTGGTCGGACCCCCGTAAGACAGAGTTCCCAGACTTTGATCGCTTTTTGTGCAGACCCTTTTTGGCGCTGAACAGGAAGTTGGATTTTTGGCCATCCCAAGTGAGATCAAGACAAAGGGACCCACTTCATTTACATCGAGTGCCAAATCCAATCTGATTTTCCCGGCGATTCAACCTTCCCCCCTCTCCTAGGCGCCCTCCTTGTTTCCTCCAGGTGGGGGGTGGGAATCCTCATGACAGCCTATGAACATGGGACCTTTTGTGGTTCACTGGGCTTGCTGTTTGGGTTTCAGGTCGCGGCTCTACGGCGCATGTTTTTGATCAACGAAATGGATTGCGACCTCGCACAGGTGTTCACCCAAAAACTCATCGCGAAGCCTTGCGGGCTGCTGAATCATTCAGGTGAAGGCTTGGTTTGCAACCGCGAAGGCTAGGATACCTTATTGGATTTTCAGGTCGAAAGCGTTTGGCTGTAGGTTGCCACTTTCTATGAGTGGCCAGCCCAGCCCCTTGAGAGTTGGTAAACCCACTTTGGGTATCTTCTGCGACCACTGCAGCACATTTTGGCGTGAGCCACATTTAGACACCTTTTGGTTTGCATTTAAATCCGCAAAACAGGGGTACCTTCAAAACCACGACGCGCCCATGTGTGGCCTTTTTTAGCTTGCTTGGCGCGTTGCTTCGGCTTTGGTGCCCGTGTTGGGTTTTGGGTAGCTGTTGACTTGCTGTCGGTTCGCTTTCAAGATGGTTTTGCTTTCCTTCTAGCTGTCGGCCCATTTTTGACTTGGCTGTAGAGTTTGTTTCGGGCTTCTTTTTGAGTTGTTACTTGTATTGCTTGGCTAGTTTGTTGCTGGCATGTTTTTCCAGTTGGTTTGCTGGCTACTTGCATGTGGTTTGTTGTCGGCCTGTTATTGTGGTTTGCTACATTGCCTTCGGCTTCTCCTCGGTTTGCGATTGAATTGCATTGCCTTTTGATTGCCATTTTCGTTGCTATGAAACCTCATTTGGGTTTGTTAGATTGCGAGAATCGCTCAGCTCCTCGTTTCAGTAAGGGATTGGGAAGGCCTGTCCTTGGCCAGTCAACTTAGCAAGGTTGGATCGCCACACTGCCGTTTTTGAGAGCCAACAGCATTGCCACTCGGGTGTGGTTGTCATTAATTAGTTGTGCCATGCTCATATAGTTCATTGTGATTCATTTCCGCGAGCTGGTCCACGTGATGCCGTAATTTTGTTGAGGCGGGCTTCCGTCGAATCAATCAAGCATGGGAAACCCCTGGGCTGGTGTTCACTTCGGACTCGACAGGATGTCCGAAGCTGATACTGCGGATGGACGAAATCCTGCACCACCCAAGAAGCCCTGGAATGATTCGATTCCCCTGTAACTACCAACAAACAATGATTTCAACCATGTTTTCTTAGGTGATGCGAAATGGATTTCGTCCGTATTGAATACGTTCCAGTCGTCACAGGCACTCGGTATTGGATATCGTTCGCTGAGGTCGCGAGGGACGACTGGGCTGAGATATCTTTGCCCGCGGCTGCTCGGCCGGGCTGACGGCTGCACAGGAAGCTGCCAAGGTCACGAGCCCTCAGTGGATTTAGTTCGGTTCAACCAATGCCATGAATCCCAGCCCATGAACAGACGCGTTTTGAAGCGTTCCCGGCCCCGGGGCCGTGGCCCCGAGTTGCGGAGACACGATGGCGGTGTTTCCGTTCTAAGGGATTCCAGTCTTGTATCTTAAAGAAATCCGGTCACCCAGTTGCTTGGCAGGCTCACGACATTGTCACCCCCAAAAGGGTAAGGATTTTCTATCAGGGTCACTATACGGGGAGAGTCAAAATGCATTTAAAGAAAAGTGCTTGTGACACGGCTGCTTACCTGATCATGAGGTTGGTTGATGGGCCTGATTGATTTGATATTATTTATGCCGCAGGTGTGGTACTGGCAGTGAACGGGCTGTTTGTCGGTCTGGAGTCCCAGAATAGCCTGGGTATAGGTGCTATTTGTGCCAAGAAAGGGCCTCTGATCCTTTCGGATGTTTTTTGCTTGGCAGTCTTGGGTCAAAGGTTGGTATTTGGATCGGCTTTGTGATGGCTCATGTTGACTCCCGTTTGAAGGGGGGCTGGCCGGCCTCTATCCTGTCAACCCATACGGCCTCAGGGCCCTTTCCTTACAACATTTTCCGTTAGACGTGGAGAAGTAAAGGGGATGACCAAACTAACATGGGTTCAAATCGTTCCACCTACTCTCGAAACCCAACTGTACCGAAACTGCCCATCAAAGCATTGCTCCCTCCAAGCAATCGCGGAACTGAACAGCGCTCCCTCAAAGATGCCTTCGACTCCTTTTGGTCTATCTCAGGTGCGCCACAATCAAAACCGGGGTAGATGAAGGTTACTAAGGGACAATCCCAGTCATAAATAGCTGCGGCCGCCTTCTTAATTCTTTACATGGTTCTGGGTCGACCATTTTAATACCGGGTTTTGGTTGTGACTCAGGTGGAGGCAGCTCCATGGACGGCAGTGGTCTTCTTTGCCATTATGGTGTCGGTGTCCATCGGCAACTCGGCAGCCATCGGGTTTGTTGAGTCGATCTGATGCGGGTCTTTTGCGTGTGTGGTGTGAGTTGTATATTGTGTTATTTTGTTGCTGTTATGTGTTTGTGCTGGTCGCTTTGTTCCTCGTTTGCGCTTTTGTGTATTGTTCCTGTTTCCTTGTTCCACTTCCTTTTTCTCGTGGCTTCGTCCCGCTTGCTTTGTTTGGCTCGCTTTGATCGGAAAGGATCCGTGGCTCAGGGCTCCAGACCTTGGCCCGGGATTTGGCTTCCGGGAGGCTTCTGGGGCTGTTGGGATGTTTTGTTTTTGTTTCGATTTCCAGGTCCATGTGTCCATTTCCATGATAGTTACCATGGAAGCCAGTGGTTGTTTTCGGGGGGACCATGCCATCATGCCGGCCTGGAGGGCGGGGAATTAGTTGAGGACCCCCCAGATGAGTTTAGCAAATCTGGCTGTTGAGGCGCAATGCCTTTTACTTGCTTAGCGATTGAACCACCACAAGATTCAGTGGTTTCCCTAACCAGCATGTTTCGCTACTCAATGCAAAACGGGTTGCTCTTCGGGCAATGATGGTCCAAATAAGTTGATTGGCAACACCCTGAGAGTTCGCGAGCAGCCTGTATTACTTTTCCTTGCCAGACTTACCCGCCCCCAACAATGATGGAAGCTGACAAGATGGTTGGGAAGACTACTTTCCTTTTGGGGAGCCCTCTCTCCACTTCCATGTTTGTTGGAAAGAGGGTACGTAATCTTCCATTTGCGCGAGAATATGTGTGATTTTCCCTTGCTGATTTTAAAGGGAATCTATCACTGGACATATTTGCACCGATTTTAGCACATGCAGGTAATCAATTTGTTGGAACCGATTACTACTGGAAATATGTATATATTTTCCTGGCGGCTCAAGCAAATGCAAGTAGCTACTTTGTTTCTGTTGCCCTTTTCCGCTGAGGCGTCCTCAACGTGTTTTTGGTGGTGGTGCTGGAGTGCGCGATGCAGACCTTCGAGGCCGACAGGGTGCAGAAGGCGGGAAGGGGCGCTGATGTGGGCGATTCTCAAAATGGATGGGTTTCGGTTTTGGGGTTTCCGTTAAAGCAACCCCCAACAAGGGTAGCCCCAAAAAAATGACATACCTGTAGGTTTGCCATGTTTGCCTGTGTAGGTAGCTTGAACGCCACCTTTGGCCGGGCAGAAGATTCTTCCATGTGCTCAAGAATATTGTTGAGTTTCTCCTGTTTGTTCGAGGGGAATCTAGTGACATAGTGTGGACGGACGAGATCAATTTCGCACCACCTAAGACACCCCGGAAAATCGATTCCCTTGTGCATACCAACAAAGAAGGGGTTCTCATCCATGGTTTGCAAAGTGGTGCAGGATTTCGTTCACCCACAATCTATTGCTTGTTTTTTTCACGGGACCTTTTTGGGGGCTGATCTCTTAAGGGGGACGGGAATCCTGCTTTGTTTTGCAACCAAAATATGGTGACTCAAACCGACGCAACATACCTGGAGCTGGTTTCCCGCATTTGGCCTACGCCCAAGCCCCATGAAGCCTTTGGCCATACTTCCCCCGAAGTCAGATGGGTTTTCTTTCGGTTTCCCGGAGTGGGAGTTCCGTTCCGCACCTCCCGGCCAAGGGCGAATGGGGCGAATGGGGCGAATGGGAGCGGCAGTGTTGAACGTGGCCCATGTGTTCACCATGGGTTTCCAAGCGAATCGACTGTCAAGGTTTCAAAAGGAGAACCGTTAACCTTTTAATCCCAAGTCTGGGCTGAGGTTTGCCTGCCTAGGTGAGCAACAAAGAGCTCGAGCGCGCCGCGCAGATCGAGGAGCTGGCCAGGCCAATCGAGATAACTAGAGTCAACCATTGCCGTGGTTCACTTCTGGGAGCCGCAAGGGGCCCATGAACCCATGGATCTGTATGGGTTCAGCTATTTCTTCAACGCCAATGCATCCTGCCAGATGGTGGTAGTTTCCTCTTTTTCAGGCACTCCAGCAGATTGCAGATTTGGCCCAGTCATCCCCACCCACCCAAGGGCTCAATTCCCCCCTGTCCCACCCCCAGCACGAGCGTAGTCCCTAATCTCGCTGGGGAATCCGTCTTTCTAGATGTTCTGTTCATTCAGGATTGCTGGTCTTAATGTCTTATCAACTCCTCAGTCGTACATGTCGTTGTTGGGCTGGCTAGGCTAGCTTTCGTTCGCCTTCGCGCCCGTTTCTTTCATCTGATTCAGGCCGACTCGCTAGTGGCTAGTAACTTTTGGAGGCCAACGACCAATGGGCCGTATCCCTCCTGATGGATAGAATCCTGCAGGTGATTTATCCCATTCCAATCGGATTTCATCCCGCCAGCTGGTGCCGATGGGCGTGGATTCGGCCTTTTCCTCCGCCAGGCAGTGTTACAACCTCGACGCTAGCGCCCGGGGCCGTTTGTCCGTGGACGTTTTGGCGCGGGCCTATGAGGCTGGAAAAGGAATCACAACCGAACCAGCATGTTTTCCTCCGTTTGGTTGTCCCATTCTCGTCGTTCGTTGGTTGGGGGGGGATTCCTGTAAGGTGTTTCCACTGCTTTCTTCTTTGGCCCATTTTGCTTCACCTTTCATTTCATTTGCGGCGCCATTGCCGGTGAGGTTTGGTTTCCCTTCAACCCCGCAGAGCCACCAAGCTTGGTTCGTTTCCTACCCAGGCGGCCCAGCAAAACCAACGCCGCTCCAAGCTCCAAGCCCGGAGGCCAATGGAGCGCTGCGCGTGGCCATGGACCGGCTGCAGCTGAGGCAGCCGGAGCTGGAGATGCTGTGCCGGCATTTGGACGAGGAGAATCTGGGGGAAGTCTCTTACAAGGACCTTGAACGCGGACGTCTGGAAGTGGAGTGGGATGGCTTGATGTTTTGTGAGAAGCCCAAAGAGGATGCTATTTTGTTGTGCCCGACTGCTTCCACCCTCCGACCACCTCAGCTGCGCCAGTTTGATTGCCTCTTGGCCCAGGGGTAGGTAGAGGCATGAATTCCTTGGAATGATAAGCACATCCCGGCTCAGCCAGTCAGCAGGAGAAGCGCATCCGTTCAAGACCATCCGCTCAGCACTGCACGCACACATGCCTTTCTCACGCAACAACAAGCTCAACCCCGAAAGCATTTGCTCAGCTTTGCACATGGCGACTGCTATGCTGGCTTACTGGCTAACAGCCTTGCAGCGTTTCAGCCCCCAACAAGGGACCCCGCACCGTCAAAATTTGCAAGAAACAAACTAGCCCCGCAAACCCAACCCAACGCGACCAAGCACCGTAACCGGGTGGGGTGGGGGATGGAAACAGGGTCGCACACCTATTGTTTCCAGAGCCTCATGAAAATGGGGTTAGCTTGAGAGGGAATCGCAGGTTGGCTCTTGGCCTACTAAGACTTGGTGAGAACTTGGAGGGGTATTCAAAAAGGTCATCAAGTTGGCTTTGCTTGAGAATTGCGTTGAAAGCCTTCCAGGCCGTGGTGTGCGAAATGGGGCTTTGGTGGCGTTTGTGGGGAGGTAGGGATGGTCAAGCTTGGCTTAGCAAGCTCAAAGGCCAACACCAGCGCAGAGAAAAGGTCACTTGGGTCGAGGTGTTGCCATTTCTTGCGGCTTGGCCCACGCTTGAATGACGGTGGTACAGCCTAGCATCCTGGGCTTGAACGTTGGCCTTACCTCCAACGTGGGAAGCAACTCAAGAGTGGCCGGCGGACCTGAATCCCGACCTGATGTCGGCCAAAGGATGCCCCATCAAAACACCCCGGATGCTGAAAGACCCAGGTTATGTGTGACGAGTGTCCAATATGCTTATTTCGGTGCAAGTGTAGAATGGAACCTGCGCTGCTCGGTACCCTCCTAGCCACAAACTTGGAACCCATCGGAGGGTCCCTTCTACTGAAAGGATTTTCTGGTTTTGCTAAAAGGAGCTCACTCCCTTTGAACTTCTTTTGGCCTATCAACTCAGGAAGTAAGTGAGGCTGTTCACCGGAGTTGATCCGAGCCAGGACTTGTGCCAACACATTGCTGGCTTCGATCGTGATCCTCTCATGACACAGTCACTGGTGCAGTATTCAGCCCCGTGGCTGGATCAAAGGTAGTGCCGTTGGCCACCCGAATCATTCCACAGGCGTATTATAAGGGGAATGCTAAGTTACAATTAAAGTACACGCATTATTCTCCCACGGTCATGACAAGTTTGGGTTTTGACGGCTACAGAAATACAGATGTTTTTTCCATGATGGCCCAAATGTGGTTAACAAGTACCCCCCCCAACCCCGTTTCCCATGGTTGTCAACCCCCCAACACTGAAGCCTCCCAGCAAGCGGCCCATCATAGGCTGCATTTACTGAAACGGGCGGGAGAGCTAATCAGCTTGACTCTTGGCAACTTCTCGGATCGAGGTCCTCGACCTGCGGCGGCTGCTTTTGCAAGTCCTTGCCTCCCCGCGCGCCTGGGAGCCGCACCTGAGCCGGAGGAGGATGGGGACCTGTTTTGCGGGCATGTGGCATATTAATGTTTTTTTGTTTTTGCGGTTTGTTGTTCTGTTTGTTTGGCTTGTTGTGTATTTTTTTCTCGGCTGGTTGTTTGCTTGTTTGTTGTGTGTGTGGTTGTGCGTTTGCTTTGTTTGATCATGTGTTTAGTGGGGGGCAAGGAACGAGGTTGCTTTCTTCTTCCAGGGGCCATGCTCAGGGCCCTGGGCTTGAAAGCGAGCGAAGAAGGGACAAGGGTACCCTCAAAGGAAGGCACAGCCTTATACTCACTTCCCGGCTGCCTGGACTTTAGTCACTTTTAGGGGTTGGACCATTGTTAGTAAACCACAAGTTTGGACTTTTTCTGGCCATCCCACTCAGAAGGTGAGTGCAAACTACTGCTTTTGGATTTGTTCATTGCGGAGTTAGTTGTGCTCGTTTATGGTGTTTCCTCGAAGTCAGCAATTGTGGGTGTCAAGGGCAAGACCCTTTTTGGGTTTTCAACAGGGATCAGCGTAGGTTGGCAGCTTTGAGTGCCCCGCTCTGGTCATCCCAGTTGTTGTGCGTTTCCTGAGGTAAGGACCTGACCCCCCCCCCCCCCCAATCCAATTATTCCATGGCTTTGGAGGGGCAGAAAAAGTGGGCGCTCCCAAGTCCGCCCATTCGGCCAGTCCCCAAAAAAATCAACCTTTCCCGCTAAATTCGTGCATCACACATAGTCATGGCCCATTCAAGATGACAGGTTGACAGATTGCAGATCACTTTTCACCCGTCCTCAGGTTGCTCAGGTTAGATGTTGCAGGTCGTGTATCAGGTCTCCAGGCCCCTTGAAAAAGTAACCCCACGGACTTTGTCATCCAAAGCCATCATGTATTCTGAGGATTTGCTTCAGTTAATCCATTTGTTCAAAACTGAGCCGTGCTTTGCATCGCCTGGCTTGACTCCCAGTCTGGCCAAGCGAGATCCCCTGATTCAGGGAATCTAGTTGCTTCCCCAGTTGAGGCCCATCTGAGGCTCTCTTTTTTTGGTGGGCTCCCCCACCATTGATTTTCAAACGCCAGAGGCACTAAAGTAGTTGAGTCCGCCCCCATAACTTATGGGGTGAAAGATGGTTCCCTCTGACAATCTCTTTGTTAAGCCCACTGAGCTCCATTTCTGTACTGATAAATGACACATGATCTGAAGATCAGACCAAAGACGTCTACAGATGTCTACAGAGTTGGGCCAAATTCATGTGTCTCCGTAATTGGTTTTGGGTTCAGTGTAAAGGGCAGCCGAAAGGGAAAACATTTGACGGGACCCCCCTATTTTGAGAAACACCCATGTCCCTCAAAGTTGGTCACTTTTAGCAAGGGGTCAACAAACAAGGGGTCAACAAACTGGGAGGAACCATGGCTCATCTTGCTGGAGCTCAATGAACCAAGGGTTCCCTACAGGAAACCACCACTTGGAATTCATGAGGCTTATTTCTCATTCCCCTATCGCACTTGACTGCTGGGTTGGATCTTTAGACTGTAACATTTTCGGGAAAAAGTTTTGGTTTTTTTCCACGAAACTTACCCCAAACAAAGTTGATCACTTTTTGCCGGGGCGCTGCAACCAAGGAATTGGACACCGAGCGCGGTGCCCCGGGAGCCCACGGCCGAAGCGCCGCGGGCGCAGGCGCCCGGGCACGGCATGGGGCCCCCGCTGCGGCCGGCGGCGGCGCCCACGGCGATGGGAAGGCGGTGCCATGGGAAGCGCCTTTGGAGGGTACCCCGCTCGTTTTGCAGGGAAACCAGCTGGAAAACCACTTTTCTTGTCTTTCGTGTTTTTGTCTTTCTTTTTTTTGGAAGCAAGGGGGGTGGGGAAAGGAACCATACTTGGACAAACACACTGACACATGCTCACCTATTTGGCTATGACTTTTAGTAGGGAACCCACTGAAAAGTGGCTGGCCATAAATTGCCTCCTAAGTGATGTCCGCCACAGGGTCTCCAAGTAAAGTTCATACCCAAGTTGATGTCAAAAAATTGGAAATTGGACCTCCGAAATGAAACAGTGCTTGGCTTCTTCGTAAACCAAGGTGAAAAGCGGCTGCCTCAAAAAGAATGCAAACAATCAAGGCAGTTTTGAACAACCAAATGTAAAGGTTCCGCTGAAAGGATCGCCCGTTTGAATGTGTTTGTACATTTGTTGTTGAATAACCTTTTTTTTGTTGCTCCTTACACTGAACGCCATGTGCGCCATGGTCGTACGGGACCGCCGAATGGAGAACCGCTGAATGGACACAGAACGATTCCTCTTTCAGGCTCCCACACAGCTCACTGGATTCCATCCTCTACACTACCATTTGTGTGGGTTCAGGGCTTCAGGGAGAGTAGAAGCGCACCCCAAAAGCATTTCTCTGACAGGGGCCGAAGGCATCCAGGTGACAACCATGTCAGTAGGCTTCAAGGCTGAGGCTGAGGCAACGATGCCAGGCTGGAGGAGCTGCATGCGGAGTTGCAGCCGCTGCTGGGGAAGGAGAGCAACTGAAACGAAGACTTGGAACCAAAGTGACTCGTTGTCTCCAACTTGGGGGAACCAAGCAAGTAGGTTGTTTTTTTCTGGCTTCAGCTGAAAAACAACACACAACCCAAAATCAAGGACTTCCCTCAAGAAAGACACACCCATGGTGTGTGTGTGTGTGCTTGTTTTGCTGGAGGGTACCCCTTCGAAAGTCTTTTTGCGCCTCAAGAACCAGGGGTTCAAATCCAGATCCAAACCACCAAGGAAGGCAACCTGATGTGGTCCATGTTTAGTCACGGATGTTGGCCCCAAAATGTTACGTAACCTTTTGCTTCTGGGCCTTTGGGCAACTGAGACAAGGATTAATTCTGGTCGCAACGGTTAATCCCCCATCTTGGTTCAAGCAATTGGGGGTGGGGATGATGGCAGACAAGTGAGCACGATTCTGGGAACTGAGCTGGTGAATTCCCTTGCTTCCATGTGCCGACGACCCCCCCAGAGAGAGGCAGTGAAAGAAAGAAAGAAAGAAAGAAAGAAAGAAAGAAAGAAAGAAAGAAAGAGCAAAAGAAAGCAAGAGACAAATAGATGGAGAGAGAGAGGGGGAGAAGAGCACAGACCTAATAGACAACCACCCTTCAGTTCGAGCACACGCCCCAGAGGCAGTAGATAGCTGCCGGGGAAACCAAAGGAAGACACCAGCTGAAAGTGCAGAGGGTTGAGGGTGGGGAGAGGTTGATGAGTGATGTTAAAGTCTCCAAAATTGGGCAGCCCCAATAATGTATGGCCCTCCCAATCCAGGGACCTAGACTCCCCGGTCCTGCACTGGCACCATCAAAATACCTTCTTAGGGGATTCGGGGTAACTCAAGGCGAAATGCTTCCCTTTTGCTACAGTTGCCAAGAGTGGCGCGATCCAAAGCAGTCGCAGGCAGAAGCGCTGCTGTCGGAAGCGCTGGACTCGTATCGCGTTGATGTGGACGGCCCGTGCCTCGCTTCGAGCAGATGTGGAGTTTGCTTTGCTAGGGTCAACTTCCCCATTCCCTTTTTCCGGCAAAACCAGTTCTGACCTCGAGCATTTTTGCGCAAGGTTGCGGGAACTGGCCTCGGCTTTCGGTTGCCAACTTGTTTCTGTGATCGCCAAGGAACAGAGGGTTAATGAGAAACCACCCTCAGCGAAACGCAAATTGTATCGCCCATTCCCTGCCTTCTCCTTTTTCACATTTTTGCGATCGCTACGACAGTTTGCTGCTCCACATCTCGCTGGCGCAAGACATAGCGCCACTGAGGGCTGCAAGACATACAAGAAGAGATGCGGGCTGCACGAAGGCAGCAAAGTTGAGATCAGGTAGAGTCTATCGCGCCAGTGTGGCAGACAACCTTTTCGCGTCCGCAAAAAACATCTTTGGCCAGGCGTGCTATAACGAAGCATTCGAGCGGGCGCGCTTGCCATGGTCAGATGCGCTCGCCGTGTTGTAACGCAGCAGTCGAGCGGGCGCAGTGTTAGAACGCAGCAGTCGGGCGGGCGCGCTTATCATGGCCAGGCGTGCGCGCAGTGTTCTAACGCGGCAGTCGGGCGGGTGTGCTTACCATGGTCAGGCGTGCGCGCAGTGCTATAACGCAGCACTTACCATGGTCAGGCCTGCTAAAACGAAGCGGTCGAGCGGGTGCGGTTGTCATGGTCAGGCATGCGCGCCGTGCCAGGGCGAAGCAGTGGTGCGGGCGTGCAATGCAGGGTTGCGGGAAAAAGTGCACGCCGTTGAGCGCTGTTTCAAAAACAAGCAAAACGGCTGTTTCATGCGGGCACCCACCCGCCCCCTCCCCCTCCAAAAAAAAACTAAAACAAAAGGGGGAGCAAGACCTACACCACAGCAAAAGGCGCATCAAACCGGCTGGAGATGTCTTGCCCCCCCAGGGGCGGCGCTTTGCGCGGGGACCACAACGCCCGCTGCGCGAACCTCAGGGAGGCCTTCGCCCTGCAGCGGGTGCAGACGGAACGCCTGGAGGATTCTACGCCCTTCTTTCGCTCCAAGCAGACCCGGATCCGCCCAAAACGGGCCAGAAACAGAAACCCCCCCAGAAAAGGTCATGTGGGTGTGGGTCAAAATTGAACCACCAGGAATAAAACCGCAGGTTTTCGTCCACGTTTCCATTTGCCAGGGTTCCATTTTGAGTACCTAGCTTTGACCAGCCATGCGGTTGGTATCTTTGGCAACGGCGTTGATTTGTGATGGAACTCTCGAAGCCACGGAAGGGAAGACTAAGATAGCCCGTGCCCCTTTTGGGGTGGCTTGAAACTTCACCTCGGTGTGGTCCCTTTGCCGAAATCCTGTACTTCAGTGGCAAAGAAGCGTCGTTTTCGGTGGTCGGCTTGCCTTTTGGCACGTTTTCATTCTAGGTGGATGGCTTGCCTTTCAATGACAAGCTGAGCTTGTCGGCTTGCAGGGGTTTCTTCGGGCCCAAGCCACGTGTCCAGTTGCTTGAGAATATTGTTTAGTTTCCCTTGTTGGCTTTACGGGGAACCCATCACTACTGAACATATTTTCTCATTTTTTCCAGAGGGCTAAAGCAAATGGAAGGTACCCCTCGTTGGCTACGGTGCATGTAGGGCGGGTGGGCTTTCCTTCTAGTGCGTGACGTGTGGGTTGCGGACATGAAGGGAAATGGCGCGCCCAAGCCAACAGACTCTGTGGCAGCCCCTTTTAAGTCCCTGAAATAAAGCAGCATCCAGCAAGGAGAGTCGAACGAATTTCTGCGCGCGGGGAGCATGGCGACCTTCAGCTATAAAGTGGGACTTCCCCGGAACCCCAAAACGGCTCTGGGAAATTGTCCGGTGGGCCAAGCATCCGGAACATGTTTCAACCACCGTCATGTTAAAGGCAGGTGCTTGATGCCTACCCAGTCACACTACTCACAATCAACCCCAGCAGTGTTTGGTGTTGATAACGGGGTGTTTGTTTGTTTGTTTGTTTGTTTGGCTTGCCTTGCTTGCTCGCTCGCTTTTTTGCTTGCTTGCTAGCCCGATTCTCTGCTTCTGTTCTTGTTTCTGTTTTGTTTCTTTCCGTTTCTTTTTGTTTCTTTTCTTTTTCTTTTTTCTGGACATTCGTCTCTCTGTGTCCCTTCAGCTCGGCATTTTCCCCCCCAACTCCGAAGGAGGTGTCGCGAGCGCAACGCGGGGCTTGGAAACGGTTTCGAATAATTGTTTGGTTGGTTTGCTCGAAAAATAGAGGGCGATTCCTGGTTTGCCTGGTGTTTTTTTCTCATCTACCAGGGAAACCCATCTATTTGCCCCAAAAGGACACCTATGGTTCCGAACGCCAGGAGATGCTCGGGGGCGTGGTGCACCGCCTGGCGCAGCGGTGCGGCGGAGCTGAGGGCCGCACCGAGTTCCTCTGACGGAGAGCCCCTGGCTGGCGGCCAAGGCGGTTTGTGGAGGGGGCAGGGAGCAGGGGTCTGGCTTGAAACCGGTGGTTCCTGGAATTTCTGAGGAGTTCCCTTGTAAATTTCAAGAAACCAACCATGGTATCAACATGGTGCAGGATTTTTGTCCATCCACCGTACTTACCCACTTGCTGTGGTTGAGAGTCCATAGCCACAGGCTAAGTTCAAGAATCTAAACCCCGCATGTCAACCCCTGGTAGAGAATTAGGGGGGAGGGGTGTCCTTGCTGAGAGTGGCAGCGCCGGGAGAGATAGGACGGGTGCATTTGTTGATACAGGGGTCGCGTTTCCCCCATTCAGTGGTGATGTTATTGTTGGAGAGGAGGTGCGTGTAAAGCCACCTGCCACAAATGATGAAGATCGCTTGGGGATCATAGAAGCGTATCTCCTGAGAATCTCCTGTTTGCGAGTTATGCTCGGCTCTTCTGGTACCCTTGGTCAACCTTTTGGTTTGGTGAGTTCATGCTGAGTCTACAAATGAGCCAGTTCCGCACACGAAGGAGAACCACTTCTGTGTATGTTGCAAAGAATCATCCAATGATTATTGCACATGATGAGCACATGTACCATGGCTTCCCTTGGTGGGAAAATTGTAATTTCCGGTTGAAGGGGGCAGATGGTTGCTTCTTTGGACAATGAACGGCCCCTGAACAGTGAAGAGACCCTGGCACTTTACACATGTGCAAGAAACACAGCAGGAAGCTGAACGCAACCATATTAGACTTACATGCAAGTATCCATTCAGCTGCTCCAGAGCAGGCTGAACCGAAAATGCGGTAAACACAACCTGAGATGCAAACAATCCAACAGGACCCATCTGCCGCTTTGCCAGGAGCCGAGCCAGAAGCTTCCAGTCGCGTCGCTTTCTAGCGCCGCTTTCGCCAACGATCCATGATTTCTCGGCATTTGGGGGGAAGCCTTCCGGGGTAACCTTGCCAAACCAAGAAGAGCCAACAACAAGACTAGATGGCCGTGGGTCAAAACCAATGGTACGTACCATTTGGGGTAGGTGCACCACCCATTTTGGCCGGTGGGGATTGGGATGTTCACTGGGAATACGGGGTTTTGACCCATGGCCACAAAAACATGCCTTTATATTACTATAAACATGGGCTCCAAGGCAAGCCCAAGGCACGTATACCCGGACGGGGAGCCAAATGTCGCCACCCTCGGAAGTCAGGAACGCGGCGCCCAGGAAGGTGCTCGAGTTGATGGTGTTCTTCGAGGGTTGGAAAAGGACCTTTATGGAACCAGGAGGTGCTTTGGTGTATGCGGGGGTTTAACACCGCCAGGGCGGGTCTTGCAAACCTTATTGGTCGGCATGAGCGCTCCAGACTCAGAGGGGCCGCTGTGCAAGCGCTTGCGCATGTGGTAATCGCCAACGCTCAAACGCCAATGGACATTGATGAAAAAGTGGCGTGCGTGGTGCGAAGTGGTGCGACACATGTTGGACGTTTGCAGGGTTTCTGGAGGTTTGACAGGACATCAACGTTTGGAACCAAAGGTTCCAGGGTTCGAGTACGTGGATATGTCATTGACAGGCTTGGCTTACGCCTTGGCCTGTTGCCTTTTTGTTGTTTATGTGTTTCCTTCATGCTCCCTTTCAACCAACTTGACTCTTTGCAGGGAACCTAGGCCTGGATTTCACGTCTTGAGGTTTGCACGGGTCTAGGCGCATGGGGCCCGCTTCCCGCTTTCGCAAGGTGCAGACGGCGAGCAGGAGGCCCGCACATCAGACATGTGTTCAACGTTTGTTCATGTCAGCCACAAGCAAATGCCGGGTACGTTCAGCTTCCCTCCATTTGGTGATGTGGATTTGTGGTTGGGGGTTGGTTCCCATTTACCCTCTACGAGAACTAGCAGAATCCCTGGAATGATGATTCCCCTGTAAATAGCGAAAAATGGTTTCAACCATGGTTTTAAGGTGGCTAAGGTGGTGTAGGATTTCGTCCATCCACAGTAAGGCTCAGGTCGAAGACCTAAATCGACCATTGAAGTTGCTTGTTTTCAGTTGGTTCAGACGAAGTCCTTGCCTCAACGCGAGGCCTTCCACCCAGACCTCCAGCAGTGCTTGTTTTCTTCTAATTCCTTGGGGCCATCAAGGCCATTTGAGCTCAGGCAGACTGCCATGCACAAGGCGGAGTTGCAGGGCATGAAGGACAGAAGAAACAAGCAGAACACTTTCGCTGCATGGTTTTCCCCAATTAGTTTGTGGGTTCAAGACGTAATTGTTCGAAAGATCCACGAATAAATTTGGTTGCGGCCAGTGCGAGACAAGGACTAACACTGAGAAAAGGTCAAATGGTCAAGCTTTGGAAAAGTGAGGTGAAACCCTACGGAACAAGTTTCTAACAACGACACCTTGCCATCCAATAAATCATCTACCGTGGTTTCATCATTGTTCTAATCGTGGATGTCCCGTTTTGCCACCCGTCATTCTTCAAGAACCACCACAAATCTTGGCTGCTGACTGACCATTTTCTGCCCAGACGCTCCTGGGGCTTCCAATGGAAGACCTAGACCCTCCATTGGACACCCCAGAGGGGTTTTGGGGTCTCAACACCTGGCCGTTGGAAGGCCCAAAATCAACCGGGAGCGTCTGGGTGAGAGAAAAAAACACTCCCTAGAAAGAATGGGCGTGACTGACTATTTCGAGGCACATGACTTGGACCATCTTGGACCTTTTTTTGGGAGGCCGTCTGACTTCACGGGGCCAGTGATAGGCGTGCAATCCTCGGCGCACGGTGAAATCCTTCCATTTGCTGCAGAAGGTGTTGTATTTTTCCCTTGTTGGTTTTAACGGGAACTCATCACTACAGGAAATATGTTGTTTTCTTCCAGCACGCTAAAGCAAATGAAAGAATCGCATTTGGTGTCGAAGGGGTTCCATTCTAATGGTCCGCCCCTAAAAACGCCCGGAGTCGGTGGTTGCCACTCTGGGCATGCGAGGAGATGGTTCAAAGCTGGCGAAAGGAGCGAAGGGGGGAGGGGGGGTGGGGGGTCACAGCCTGCACCTCAGCGTTGTGAAAAAACAACTCTCCTATGGAGAACGCCCTGTCGGGTTTATCAAGGTGGGTTCATGACCAGCCCAGTTATGTGCGTAGCATCCCAGAGGAAGCCATTGTTTGGGTCACCCAACTCGCATTGTGAATTGTAGTGTCCCAGATGAATTCCGGGCTTTTGCCCCAAGTTCCCACAGTGAGACAGCGTATGTGGGCCCGCATGAGCCGAGCGGGATGGATCCCTTGGCTGGCTCGGAGCCAAGGGTGCTGCTAAGCAAATCAGGAGGCGGACTCTCGCAGTCAGAAAGCGGAGGATCTTGGCAAGCAGGCAGGGCCCGAAATCCCGTTGGCTGTCGTTGCCCTTATGTTTTGGTTCATTCTCCGGCATCAACTTGCAGCAGTGTCATGCAAGTGTGCAGGTGTTCGTAGGCGAATTGCAGATTTGAGGTAGCCATGCTTCGAAAGAGGACCTGACGACTTTCCGACAGCCCGGTTTCCCACAGGAAATGTTGAAAGCCCCCCTCTCCACCTAGCAAACTGCTGATGAAATCTGTTCGGCGCAGGATCGAGGTTTCTCTCAACAGGCAGGTCTGCCACAACATGATCTGCCACAACATATATTTTCCCATGTTGCCTCCTTTTGAAAAGCTTCCTTGGGTTTTTTTTACGGCAATTTTTTGGGTGAAACGTCCACGGCCCTTCTCAACTGAAGGAACAGCTCCGTAGAAAGGCTCGAGCCTTTCATAGGTCGCTATGGTTGGTCGAGGTACCAGTACCGGTGTGAGACGAGCATTGGGCCAGAGAACACACAGAGATTTCCCCAAGAGTTAGAGGGTAAATATCCATCCAAATAGCAGCCAAGTCAGGTCCTGTGTTTGTCACATGCCCCTCCAATACTGTTGGGCCCCCCCTATCCGAATTGAGGCTAATAGCCAAATTGTGGCTGATGGGATTGGCTGGGGGGGTGACAACTATGATCAGGTCAGTTCTTCAGCCAAGTTTTGAGGCATTATTCCGCCAGGTCCGACAGCACCAGGAGCGTCAGGAGAGAAGAGCCCGGCGTGGCTTGGCCGAGAATCGGCCGGTCGCTGCGGTTTGAGTATCTTTACGCCATTCCCCACCCCCACTCTGTAATGTACAGTTGGTATGGGCCTGAACCTAGGGATCATTCTTTGCAGAAAGCCACCAAACCCCAAAGAAAGCAGCTGGTTGAGGCTGAAAAGAAGGATGGCTGAAAAGAGCGGGAACCTCCATGGGACTTCACCAGGGGCCCATGGAAGACAAGTTTTCTCGGGAAAAATCTGAAGGCAACCGACAGCAACGTGTCACGGAGTCAACGGCACGGTTTCGCCAGGGGCCGAGGAGCTGCGGGTCCAGGACCAGATCCACATGGTGAAGGACCTGGGCATAGCGCCCGCCTGAGACCAAAGGGGTGTCAAGGTTGTTTGGTGTCCATTTGGGTATGGGTCAAAATTAAACCAACAGGGGACCACAGGTTTAGTCATTGTTTCCATTTACCAGGGTGCCATTTTGGGTACCTATTTTTGACCCACAGCCATTTTAATCGGCCGGCGTCCACGGGTGCAGTTCGCATTTTTTTGTAAAAATGGCAGGAGTTCGATTCCCGGCTGGAATGTTTTGCCACGTTGTGCACTCACACATTGACGCATGCATTTGTTTATTTGCTTGGATTTACCATGACCACTCCTCAGACGTGTTTTTCCTGTTTGCTGAAGTTTGTTTCGACGTCGCTGGTCCACATTTTCTTCGGGAGAAGATAATCTTGGTTTTCCGTTTTTTGGCCAAGGTCCTCATAGGTTAAGCTGTTCATGTCCTGGGGCAGCCAAGCGTTGGTTCACGTTGTGGCGGGCTGCCCTTTGAAGTCAACTGGCACTCATGTCTTTATAGCACTTGTAGCGCTAGAATGCGCTAGATATGATTAGCGTTGTTTATTCTGGGATTGGATCAGTGTGATGTGTGCTTATATTTCAGAAACGAGGCCGGCCCTGTTGGAGCAAGGCGAAAGTCCACCTTTTCTAGAATCCAAGCCCGCTTCCCAACCCGCCCCGCCCCCCGTCCCCCCAAGCAGGCCTAGGGTCGCAGGTACATCAGCGCGTGCCTCGCGCGCGTCAGGTCATGAAAGGCGCCACCTGCTCAGCACGAGAGAGAGAGAGAGAGAGGGAGACAGAGCCGAGCTTGTGGTTCGTTTGGGTAGGGGGGGGGGGGGAAATCGGGCCTCTGCACGACAAATCGATTTTACTTTTGCCCCTTCATTATTAATACTTCTATTTAAAAAAATGAGCAGGTCTAACTACCCAAATGAACCGATAGAGAGAACTGTTGTCCGTTACTCATCTCAGCTGGTCAGGTTGCAGACGTTAATTTTGTTGTTGATAGGCTTGTTCGTCAGTTGTGTAAAGATCCCAGACAAGTGTGAGCTGTGAGCTCTTTCTGGCGGAAATCAACTGAGTCAAGGTGGGCGACATTCGTCGCAGCCGCGCCAGCGAGCAGCGAGCTGCGCCACAAGCAAGCGTGGCTCAAGGGGAATTCATCAACAGACAAGCAGCTTCACTATTTGACGGTCAGAGGCATCTCTCCAGGAGAAGGCAGCTCAAGCATGCCGCGTAGCTTGCGCCCCAGGCTTGGCTTCCGATTTGGTGAGGAACACTGTGGTAAGACTTGGGTTCGCGAACTCGCCCGCTGAAGGCTCCTTTATGGTTTTCCCATTTCCAGGGGTTGGTGCCAGCTTAGCCAGAGGAATGACCGGGACTGATTCCATGCAAACACAATTTTACCCACAGCTAAAAATCACTGAAACTCTTAAACTCTTTCCACCAGCCTGTTTGTTTTCTAGGTTTTTGGAAGGTATGGGGATGGAAAGCTTCAGGCGTTTGGCCAAACCCCCCAAGGGGTGGAATTCGAGAAATCGGCACCTCGGCTCACATGGCTAGCGCGCCATGGGCAGTGGCGCTATGAAGCACGCAGGGCGCTCGTTTCTGGGGTTGGGCGGCGGAGGAGGCGCATTGCTTCCAGACCTGAGGCGATTGTAGACTATCACGCCTTAAACGGCCTTGTTAGGCGTTATCATACGGCATCTGGCCCTATCCGGCGTTCATGCAGGCTGCGGTCCTTTAAAGGAGAACCAACAGGAGGTTGCATGAGTGGCTAAAGAAATGTTTGAACAAGGGGCGGGCCCAACCCTTCCACCCAAAGTTTGTTTTATTTCTGCCTCCATCAATCACGCTCATCATCACAACAGTGTCTATGGAAGGGGGCCTAGTCCACATAGGGGCCATGCTGAGGACATTCCCTTTGGCTGGCGAATGCACAATTGGACTGCATGATTTCCAGCTAGGGGAGCCCATTGTGGAAACATAGTTGGGCCCCTTGCAACTCGCCTCAGAAGAACCTTCAACCGTTTCAACGTGTATTGATTGTCTTCGTTCAATGGGGTGGGTGGAACAAACCTTGGGTTTTGCACTAGCAGGCCCTTGTCCCAAGTGTTGGTCAAAAAGGCAAATGTCCCTCAGGCCATGGCGCAGTTCTCAAAGACGTGGTTTTGGCCGCACACGTAAGGGATTGATACTGTGGATGGACGAAGATCAGTCATTCCAGGGCCCCTTTTGTGGTGCAGGATTTCACGGTTGTCGGTATTTACAGGGGAACATCTGAACCCAGGGTCTCTTAGGTGCGAAATGGATTTCATTTCGTCCATCCACAACGGCCTAGCTCCATATTTGAAAGGCGTGCTAGCAGCGTGGCATGTAGTGGCATGTAGACTCCCAGGGCCGACCACGCCTTTGACAGGGACATCCCCCACACAGTTGGTGGTGGTTGTTCTTGCTGGTTCCAAGCGGGGAATTGGGAATGACCCTATAAACCATCATTTATGGTTTCCCTTTCAGCGAATCCTAGGTTCATTCTCAAAACTCTGGGTCATTCCCTACTGAGCACCTGCAAGTTTTGTCTGATTCTTTGGGGCAGCGTTTCTTTTTGGTGGGAGCTGGAGCTGGCTGGGACCTTGTGACGGGTGGAATATCAACATTTGGAGGATTTTCTCGTCGAGGAAGGAGCTTCTGGGTGGTTGGTTGGTTGGTGGGTGGGTGGGTTGGTGGGTTGGTGGGTTGGTGGGTTGGTGGGTTGGTGGGTTGGTGGGTTGGTTGGGTTGGTGGGTTGGTGGGTTGGTGGGTTGGTTGGGTGGTTGGCTGGCTGGTTGGCTGGTTGGCTGGTTGGTTGCTGGCTGGTTGGCTGGTTGGTTGCTGGCTGGTTGGCTGGTTGGCTGGTTAGTTGGTCAGTCGGTCCTTCGGTCAGTTGGTTTCTGTGCAAATTTGCAAGTCTAGGTTCCCCAGTAGTTCCCTTTTACCCTTTTTGGGGGGTTCCCCAACTAAAATAGACTACAGGAAAAGGGTACTCTTATTCTAGCCTCTCTGGAGGACCTAGAAGTGCTGCAGGTGGAAAACCCACATTCAACCAGAGAGCGTGGCTAGCCAGGCCAAAGCGACCGCGTGTTTTGCTCATCCGCAGCTTTTCGGGGTCGCGGGATCCCATTTCAGCGCCATGAGCCCCATCCACAACTGGCAGCCCAGCTGCCAGCAGCTTTTGCTTTGCTCATTGGGCCGTATGGTCACACCAGGTTCTTTGGTGGCTGGTTTCCAAAATCAGTACTCACTCAGCCAATAAGTTGGGTGTGCATGCCAGAGCTTCATACATGGGTTCATACCTTCGGCCCTTGCTCAACTCAACCATGGGAAAAAAAAACACCGTGTTTGGCGCGCTGGCCGAGAAGCTGCCAGCCAGACGGGAAGTCTTTTGGTTTCCAGGAGTTCATGGGATGTCAGAGTGAAATCCGGTGGTTCTCACAGCCAGTGTCCAACCTGTTCCTCATAGGAATAGAGTCCCACCCCCCACCCCCCCGCCTGTCCTCTCTCCCCAAAGCCCGAAAAAAAGACCTTGTCAAGCTCTGAATTGAAAAAACAGGAGCTGGGGGTGGATTAGGGGAGGCGGGGCTGGATCCTATGGGTAGGGCCCCAGCGGGTTTCTCCTTATGCCAACAGGGGATTCACTATTTTGAGACACTCGATGTCCTTTTGGAGTTCCCCCCTTGGTCACATCGTCACGACCCCAAAAGGTGATCTGGGTCTTTTGGGCCACTGAATTTCGGGCAGGATCATAGATGTCCTTTTCAGGCTTGCTTGGATAGAAACAAATGGGTTCCGCTGGTGTAGATTGGTCCCATTCCGTTTACCAGAACCATTTGGCCATGAATTCTAAAACAACCGCCTCAAAAGTGATCGGTGGACATGGATATCCACCTAACTGATGGCCACCATTTTCGGTTTTTTCCCCTGCAAAGTCATCGACCCCTCCCTCGTTCCCAAAAAGGTCACCGGTTGCTCAGGATGTTGTGGCTCCTGGCACTGCCCCTGGCGGCGCCGGCGGCGGCCGACATTTCTTCACTTCCGGCGCTCTCCGGCGATGTCTCCGGGTGGCTGTCCTTGAGCACCTCCATCCAGGCAACGCTTGGGTCGACGGGCTGCCTTCCCTTTTGGGCAACCAGGTTTCTGTGTTCTTTATTGGTTCAGTGCGTCCATAGTTGTTGGCACCCAGGTCTTTGCACAGGATTGTTCATGCATGAGTCTTTGACCTATTGGAGGAACTCAGCTGTTTCCTTCATCCCAGACCCCATAAGTTGGTAAGCTGGGACCCAATTGCCCAGAGGCGTGCGTAATGGCCCATGTGGGGCTGTTGGTGTTTTGGTGACTCTTTTCACAAAAGCTGTGCTGCGCAATCGCGGGACTTCCCCTAGCTTTAGCTTCTTTTAGGCCTCAGGCCTTCCGATCCCCCACCATCGAATGAACAAATCCTCCTCCCCTCAAAGGCTTCGATTCCCTCTGGCCCGTGTACATGTTGTTGTTGGGCTGGCTAGCTTTTGTGAACCTCTCAAGTGGGGCGGTTTAAAGCGTTCAAAAGGGGGTCAAAAGGGCGCTCATGTTTGGTCTTTGTCTTATTTGGAGAATGTGAGGCGTGGTGGAAACCTACAAGTCGATGGCTTGACTGTCATGTGACCTGGCACGTCGGAACACCCAAGTGGGTTGTCAAACAACCACAACGGACCCGATGCAACCAAGATGGACATGTTGCCTTTGCTTTTTTTGAGAAGTGCAGTGGTAACTTGATTATTCCAGCGGGATTCACAGGCAGTTTCATGTCCCAAAGTGTTTCGGGGCGTGTGGGATGTGCTTTGAATTTGGCTTTTGGCCCATGGGTTCGTCCAAGACCGAGGGTCCTTACGTCTGATCCTCTTGTTTTGTGGGAAGGATCAGACATGGCTCATGTTGATGGCCACAATTGTGCTTGGGTGCAAGCATGCTCCTCGTTCCCCCGCCCGGGCTTTTGTTGGTTTCCAAAGTGAGGCCTGTTTTTTTTCTTCTTCTGATCTCAGCCAGTCTGAGTTTGCTGGGTTTTTCCGTTGCATTGGTTTGTAGCATGTTTTTGCTCCTGGTTTTCACGGGATTCCTGCAAGAAGCATCTTTCCCCAGGCCCTTTGCTTCCCCCTAGTATCCCCGACAAGGCTTTTGGGGTTTTAATTTCTAAAGGCCTTATTTGGAAGAAAGCAGGCCGGGGTTGCTGAGGCTAGCTAGCGGGGGGTGTATATGAACAGTTCGCACATCCAGGAGAAGCGCTTGCGTATCCATAACAGCTGCCTCAGCGAGCCCGTGTGGATTGCCCACATGGCCGGCTATGGCACTGGCCCGGACAACCAGAAGCTTGGTGAGTTGGCAAACTTTGAGAACTTTGCGTTGGTTCACCCCTGACCTTAGATGAATCCACCAAGGGGTGAAAGCAAGCTCGCCCAAAACTTCCCTGTTCAAGTTGCAAGCTTATTTTGGTGGCGGCTTTTTTTCAGGATGTGTGTCTAGGGCCCAAAGAGTACATGTTTGTTTCCAGCTAGTCGACTCAGTGCAGCAGTTTGAGGAACATCAAGATCGGCCCGGGCGAGATGTTCGACTTTGTGACCTGGACAGGGCTAAGTAGCACGCGCTATTGGCCCAAGTTCCGGTGCGACGAGCCTTGGAGCAACAGGCCATTGGAAGATGGGAGTTTAGGTTGCCACGTGCTGCTCTGCCAAATCCACGTCTACTCAGCTGTTGGGACCTTTCTGGGGCGGTGGGGGGGGGGGGAATTGGTGGGTTACTCATCGCTTACCTGGGTTTCCCTGACCCTTAGAGGTGACCACAGGGTGCCATTGACACTTCGAGCTCATTTTGCAGTACCGAGCCCTGGACCACCCATTCAATACCCTACCTGCGGGATAGCACTAAAGCAGAGAGAAAGAGGAGAGAGAGAGCAAAAAAGAAAAAAACTTGTCTCCGGCCCGATGGCAACAGATCCGATCTGAGGAATGGGGCAACAACTGCAAGATCGGCGAGAGCGGAGGCCCAGGCCAGACCTGCAAGGAGTGCGCGCCGCCTGTGGACACAAAGTTCGAAGCGACCCGCCCTGCGATTTGAAGTCTGCGGGCGCTTTCGTCGTTTTGGGCGTTTCTTTGTGTGTGTGTGTGTGTGTTGCGGTTTGACATTATTTATGTGTTTTTTTTTTTTTTTTTTTTTTTTTCTGTTTGATGGTTTTCTTTGTTTATTTTGTTGTGTGTGTGTGTGTTTCATGTCGTGTCTTTGTGTGTATCTTTGTTTGATTGGTTGGGTGAATGGCTCGTTGGTTGCTGAGGCCACCTTTGGAGATGCCAGCTTGGCCTGCGACATGCCCGGGCCCTCGGTCTCCGTGAGCTGATTTTCAACACGTGTCCTTGGCGGTTCCAGCAAATCCTCCGGTTCCACTTGGGTTTTTAGCGGTTTTGAGTTGGTTGGGCTTCCATTTGACCCAGAAGTTTCAAGAAAATCATATTTAGGGGATCTGAGGACAGCCCAGTGTCCTTTTTGGTTGTGGTGAAAAGTGGATGGCCCTTGACCTGGTTGTTTCAGCATCCAGTTCCATCAATTTTCCCACAAGGACACCTATGAACGCGAACGTTTTGAGGTGACTTTAAAAGCACAAAGGACAACATACAAAAACACGGTGCCCTGAGACCAGCAAACATGACACCGAGCATGCGGCCGGCGCCCCTTGGATATTTCTTCCGAGCAAGTTTGAATGGAGCGGCTGCCACTTGTGGGCAATCCAAATTTGCGGGGATGGAATTGTGAAGGTCTCGAGTAGAGGCCGGGGACCCCCTTTTCACGTGTTCAAAAGGGAAGCCACGAAGAAACCAACCATCCTTATGGGCCCCCTATTTTGAGAAACAGCAGGTTCTGCTAATCAACCAGGGTGTGCTTGGATGCGGTTGGTTCGCTGTTTCTGCACAGTGTCAAGCCTATGGTCACCAGCGCCATGTGTCCCCTGTGGGTTAGCCTCTTCTCCACAGATGGTCAGCCCAAAACGGGCTTGCCGGGCCCTTGAGCCCACAATGCCCGGAGTGAGGCTCGCTCTGTCCGATTTTTTCGGCCTGGTAAGGTTCTTACTTGTTCGGGCCGGTATGTGTGTGTGTGTGCGGTTTAACCATGGGGTCATCTTAGAGAAACTTGGTTCGGGGCCGATGGTTTTTTTGTAAGTTTCCCTTCAACATGCTTCGCTTGTGTTGCTTCGCGAGTTGTCCAAGGTCCAAGGGCCAGTCATTGGGCTGCGACTGGGTGGATGTGAGCCTGGTGGATGGGTTCACCGCACCCTTCCAGCGCCTTAGCTCACGATTGCCGAGACTCAGGTCTCAATGGCTCAACGGCTGCCTGCCGTCAAACTACCCTAGATGGAAGCTCCCGATACTCCAGATACCTTGAATACAGTGGTTGTTGTACATCCCTCGTTGGGATGATTCAACCATGCCCCCGATCCATTTCTTTTCTATGCATATTGATATGGTGACCTTTTTGCGGCGGATTCAAACGTGGCCTGTTGGGCCAGTTGAGCTGGCTTTTGGTGGAGTGATGCTAAACAGGGACACCAGAAGGATTCCCGGCTTTTGCTAGCATTTTGTTTTCGACTTGAGTTTACTTTGATCAGTATTCAAGTGGCACAGCCAGTTTTGTTGCCCTCCAAGACAGGCTTCGTTTTTAGTGTGACCGATTTTGGGCACTTATGGGGAAAAAGAAGGAGAGGCCATGAGAGGCCCCGCGAAGGTCCTTGGAATTCGGATTCCTCCCCTCCGTTTTGAGAACAATCTAGGTCCCATAGTACGTAGTGCCCTTTTACCAACTGTTTGGGGGGAGGGCTCCCCTACTGAAATAGACTACAGGAAAAAAGGGTGCCCTTATTGGAGGACCTAGCAATGGTTTTGTTTGTTCAAGCTATGCCAGCGTCACTCAGGCTTTGAGACAACCATATGCAGGTTTCTTTCATTAGGATCCCTTATTTTCGGTTTGGACACTGAAACATGTTTGTCCAGAGTGTTTGCTCGGCGGCTCGCAGCCATACCTTTACAGCAGCCACTCATTTGGAAGGATTTGTGATATGTCCCACCAAGGTCTTCACTTTAGCAAGTGATCAATGACGACTAGGCCACCACCCTCAAATCTCCAGGCCTTTGGTTAACGCAGCCAGAAATCGGACCGAAGCCAAGGGGTCCAGAGCGAAGCTTAGGCTGGCCATCCGCGGGAGCTGCTACAACAGCTCCGGGCACTTGATGCAAGACAGCCAGCCGCCCGGATCAAGCGCTCGAGTCCGCTCGATTGATTTCCTAAGGGGGGCCGTGTGTGGGTTTGTCCCGTATGGAGCCCCCAAAGCAAGCAAAGCAAAGAGCGGTTCTCCTTCGCATAGGTGACCCTTTTGGCTTGGTTGATTAGTAATGGATGGCACTGGTTTAGATGGGTTTTAGTACATTTACTAGGCCCTCTTGCTTTTCTTTAGAATTCCTGCGGGTAAGGAAGCACTTGGACTGCTCCCGCCTGGATATGCGGCATTGCCCGCGGGAGGAGAAGGCGGGGCTTCGCAGAGTTTGACTCCCGTGCAGCGCCCCAAAACAAAATCTTGGGTAGCGTGACTTCCTGGTTTGATAGGTTGTGGCAGGGGGCTTTTTGAGCCTAAGCCGTTGTGCGCAAGGGTCGGGGGAAGCGAGGAGAAGTGGCTCAGGTTGGTGATTGTGAATACGCATTTGAGGGTTGCTGAGCACTTAGCATGACTCCCGAACCACTCACGGGCCACATGAGAACGCATCACCCAGTTGGTTGAAAGTGATTGGTGGCTGCAACCGACTGAAACCTGTGAAGGGTGCAACAGTGCCTGATTTGTCATTTTCAGCTGCAGGAGCTCTTTTCATCCGTGGTTCCCTTTCAAGAGGCACAGCCTGATTGCTTCGGCTTGATTTCATCCAGAAAGGGGGCTGTAGCCCTGATCAACGGTCAGACACTTCAGGGACGCTTGTCAAGCCACTTCCGTGAGGCCAAGGAAACACCCTTCAACATGACGAAGTAAGAATCGCAACGCTGTGGACAAATCCTGCACCATGGATAACACCAAGATCGCTCTTTTGGCTTTCACTTGAGTCCATGTTGAGGGTCCCAAACTACTTAACCCTCGATTCCGAGGTCCTTTGTCACTTCTGGTTGATCCCCAAATATATTGCAAGTAAGCCAGCCCCAAACGACACATTGCATGTTGCTTAGTAGGGATCCCATTGCACCACAGAGACTCATTGCGAAGGTTCCGTTTGTACGGATGGAATCCTTTAGCAACACAGACTTCAAACAAGTCTTGCTTGCTCGCCAAGGTGGCGCTGCCAAATGCACAGGGCATCCCCGAGGTTAAGACCCTGGATTTGCGCGCCACCCGCGGCGAGGACGGAGCCTGGACTCCGAGTCTTTCGTTTGCTTTCCAAGCCTCCTTGGTTTCAACCGCCTGTTCAACACTTTCCCAGTGCGCCTGGTGGTTCAGAAAGGATCCGCGGGAACGGGAAGTTGCCACCAGACTTATTTTTGTTGACACTGACACGGACCGGCCGGTGGAGGGTCCCGTCATCTGTCCTTGGAGCTCAGGAGCTCAATGCCCAACTTCACTGATCTTATTGGGAAAGCCCAGAAGAACTCGCCAGGGCGAGGTTTTGTTGCTCACTTGAAGGTGTCTTACTTCCTCAATTCAGGTTGTCTCCTTTTTGCCCAGATCTGTGGGTTGCCACTACGAAACACAGCTTGGAGCGAAGCCACCTAAGCCACCTGCGCGCGTCAATCTTTCGGTGGGCTCCCAAGTCAGACCGTCATGAGCTTGACCTGACCCCTCAAAAACCAATTCGGGGTTTATCCTACCAGGAACATGGAACACGTGATTAAGTTGCCATGAACCTTCAGCTATTGGCGTTTCATGCCGATGTTTAGCACCATTTTACATTGCAGGATGGTTCTGAGTGAACCTTCCCGAAATCTCCAACCCACACCATTCCAGGAACCGGCCCCAAAACCACAGGATTGGCTACAGGATAGCTGTCACTGGTACTCACCGGCATTTCTCAGTTGCCTTTTGACCTTTCGGTTTTCCTGATTAGATGAGGAGAGGGGGGTGGAGAGAATCGGAAAACAGAGTCATATTCCTTGATTAGTAACACATTCTTGGGCATGCAGCTGAGATCTTATGTCTTATATTAAACACTGTTGTAGTGTATCCTTTCTCTTTCTCGATTGCAGCGTTCATGTTTGTTTTTTGAAGGAACAAACAGCATTGCCTACCTTATTTGGTAAACTCCTTTTAATGTTTGGTGATCTGGTTTCTGATGCACTTTTCTTTGCAATATTTGGAGGAGATCGCCTATCACCATCTATTTTGTTTGTTTGGACATCCAGAATTTTCCATCTCAATAATACCTGTATGTGGGGTCATGTCCAAAAGAATTTCTGGGATGTTACTACAGATAATAGCCTGTGCTAAGCAATCAATGTTCTTTTCCATGTCATCTATTTCTCTTCTTGAAAGTCTTGTTTGGGGCCATCATATGTGCAGTGGCGGTTTGGAAAGTGATACAAGAACTCAATTTACTGGACAGCTTAATATCTTTAACAACTGGTACAATAATATTTAACTGGCTTTTTGCATATTACACCTTACACTTACTTCTGTGTTCGTTCTTGCTTGTCTCTTTTTTTCAATGTTTACCATAGGTGGGTCAACAGGGATACTTCTAGGACATGCTGAGCAGTGGATCTAGGATTGCATGATACATATCATGTTGTAGCACAACGAGGTTTTCATGTACAGGAGTGGCATTGTTGGCAATCGTTGGCGCTGAGAACTCGCCACCGCCTACAACGTCAGGAGGCTGCGGGCTGCTACTCGCCGTGCAGCAAGCTCACCCTTCGCCGCTGGGATGTTGAAAGGATGGCTTCGCGTGCAGTACTGCATGTAAAATGGGCCACCACAGACTATGTCCATATTCTGCTGGTACATGTTCACTTGGATTGGTTGAGGTGTAAGACCTCGTTATTGTCTTCTTTATTATTATTTGGGGGGGTCGGGTGGCCACGCGTGGGTGACACCTCCCGAGGCCAGTGGGGCAACGTGGAGGCCTTGGGCCGTGCCCCGGCGGACGAGGCCATGCGGCCCTACTGCTGCCCCACGCCCCCCACGTCGCCGGCCACCTGCCGCGCCGGGCCGGTGAAGTACAGCAGATACGCCCCTCGCGAGGAACAAAAACGGACGGGGGCCGGCGGAAACTAAAAAGGGGCCGGGGGGGGGGGGGGTTGAGGTGGCCATGGCTGAAATGAATACTTCTTGATTTTCCCCAGTTGGTTTTACAGGGAATCTGTCACTACTGGAAATATGTTTTGTTTTCCAGCGCTGAAGCACATGGAAGAAAGGGCTGATAAAAACCGGCCGAAAGGGAAAAGGTTTAGGTGGCCATACTCTGTGAGCCAAGGGATGTTGAGAGTGAAGTAGTCGTTGGGATGGACAATTTTTGGTATAGCCGTGTTTGTTTCCCAGAGCCGAGCTATTGATGAGCCCGCATTGCAACCGTCCCACGGCTCCGATGGCTCTGAATCATGGGAACTCAGCCGGAAGCCCCCTCCCGAGACCTTTTGCCTTTGTTTGTGACAGGCGCTTTCAGCTTTCAGTGAAAGTCGACACAAGTCGACGACATCCAACGACCAAAAGAAGGTCCTCTCTTTTTTTCATGCCCACTGGGGCTTTAGTGGCAACTTGGCAACCATGGTGGAGTAGAGTCGCGAAAGTGATCGAAAACGGCTCAAGCCCAGCTGATATAAGACTCCCTTGGTGCGGAAACTCCTTTTGAAGGGTGTGGTCATTTCCCACAATGGAATTTGCGGGGTTACTTCTTGGCATAGCTCATTGCGGAGGTCAATGCACCATGGTCTTTGTGAATTCAACCTGCTGCCTGCAATCCTCCAGCGAAGGGAAACCGCCTAGAGGTGAACTCCTTGATTTCCTTAAGAGTAATCCTTGACCGGTTTACCATTGCATGTAAAAGGGGATCCACCTGCCAGCTTGAAACCTGCAAAGGGCCTTCGGTATGGCTCTTTGCCCACAAACAAGCTGTGCCCCTCAAGCGAAACTGGCCAGTGCGAGCCTGGGGGCAAGCATCAGCCCAGCTCCGAATCAGACAGTGGACCAGTTTGTTGTATCCGCATGTTGGTTTCCTTTTTTTCAGAATGTCCTGGTGAATTGACAAGAGTTTTAACTTTTCAAGCCAGTCCACTCAGCAAGTCCGCTGAGGAGCGGCAACCCTTTAGAATCAAGTGCCAAGAAACGTGCTTGGTGTTGTTTTTTTTGCCATGCAATCGAGTGGAGGTCCGGTTGTTGGCACGTCTTTGATTTGCACGTCTTTGCACATGCTTCCCCCCCCCCTCACCAGCTGGGAGTTCCGAGTTCCCAGGGCTGGGAGTTCGGGTGGCCTTTTTTGGGGATGCCACCTGGGCTATTTGCTTTGAAACGGCAGGCCCAAGCTTGGGGTACAGAAAAACATGGCTTTTTCAGTTTCGTATTTGATTTAACCATATAGTATTTGTATATATACACATATAATTTGCAAAAGGGAGGGGGTGTTTTTCCACCGCAATTGGAACATATAAAATATGTTTGGGGGAGTGATCCACCTGAGTCCGAGCAATTTGGCGGGGGCTCCTTGGAGGTCTGGCTGCTGATGGTGCCCCTTGCGTTGCGTATTTCAGGTACCCCTTCGTGGGTGGTTTGGATTAGTTTTGGGGATCGGGGGATTTGAACCCCACTTCCGACTTCCTTTGGCATATTTTTGGAGGGAATCTGAGGATGTTGTTGTTTTTTCTTGTTTTTTTTTCTCTGAGGTGGAGGCCATTCACAGTATGTGCCCCGGCGTGTACGGGTTCTCCTACGACGACGGCATGGGCCTGGTCACCTGCGAACCAACTGCCAGGTACCTCTTCACCATCGGTGGCTTGGCACGATGCGTTTTCTTGAGAAAAAGTTGCCCGTTTCACCTTGGTTAAGAGGAAACTAAAGGGACACAACTATTTGTGTTTGGTTTGGCGGGGCGGTTACTGGTTTAAAGAGAAACTAGAAGAACTACTGACATGTTCAGCTTGGCGCAGATGTATTTGCTGTAAAGGGTGTAGCGGTCCTGTTTTGTGGTCCCTTCGCCAGGTGGTTGTGTGCTTTTTCCTTCCCATTTTGGGCCCAGCAAAAAGGGGGACATGGGGTCGAGGTCGGCCTCCCGGCCCGCAGGTTGCCCAAAGCTGGCGGAGCCCGCGGCGCCGCATGGCTTAGGTCTCGGCCACCGTCTCCAGCTCAATGGAAAATATGTTAAGAACATGGGGGTCCTTTTTGGGTGAGCCTGGGTAAAAATAGATGGCGCTGGTTTAGATGGGCTTTGTTTCATTTACCAGGGCCATCTATTTTTCCAGAAGGCCACCTATGATGTTGAATACTTCACCTGGAAGGTTGACCAAGCTAGTGGTTGGAATGGAGCCAAGGAGTTAGGGCATCCCGCTTTGCCTTTAAAGAGGGAGCTAATGAGCTACCAGGACTTCTGTAAGGACATGGTAGTAAATATGTTGCCCGTTTTTGAAGTTTGGCGATGGAAAGAGCACACAACTCCAGGAATGCATTCTGGCTACTGAGGAATCCGCAAAATCCACTTCGCAGGTTGCATTCTGGCTACAGGCGACCTATTCCCCACGCAAAGGGGGCTCAGAACCATGGCTTGGCTTGTTTGCCCGCGGTTTCCAAGGATCTTGGAGATGTATTGTAGGTTCAGGACGGCTAAGTAGTTGGATTTATGTTTTGGTACTCTAAGCTCAACTCAACTTTGTGTAACTTGGCCATCTTGGCCGACCTGAACAGTCTATTCTTAGTTTCAGGGTACCCGAAAAAAACTCAATGCTGAAGTCATAGACGTGGTACCTTGCTGCCACTCACCAGCTGATTTCGAACATTTTGTGACAGATGTGATTTGGGATGTAACTGTTGGAGAAACACTAACGAGTTCTCTTCTAGATTGTTTGAATCACTTTGAAGGGGCCAGCGACCAAGCCTGATGGACTTCCATTGCTTGCCATTACATCTATTTGCTTAAGATGTCTTTTGTTTTTACTGTCTTGTGGCTTTAAAAGGACATGGTCTTAGTTGGCCACTATTCGGTCGCGGCTCAACCCCAAACAAACGCGAAGTTCTTTCCGAGGCCCGCTCCGGCACCTGCGCCGAAGCCTTCGCCGGCGCCAAAGAAGCTTTCGCCGGCACCAAAGGAGCCTTCGCCGGCACCAAAGGAGCCTTCGCCGGCTCCAAAGGCCTCGCATCTTGACTGCTATTGGGCCACTCGATCTTTAGACTTTAGACTTTTTTGGAAAAATCAAGTTGGGTTTTCCACTAAACCCCCCAAAAGACATTTTTTTCTTGCAGGGGGGTCAACAGCAACCAAGGCATCTGCGAAAGCCGAGCCCAGAAACCCCGCAGCGGCTGCCGACACGACCGCAGGCCGATCGGGCCGGGGGGTTTGATCTGACCGGGCGAAAGCGAAGCCTGCGGGATGGCGTGACCCCGGGCGCCAGGCGTTTGACGCTTCCTATACGGAGATTGCGGGGTGTTCATATTTCGGCAAAAGTGACACTGATGACTCCCTACTAAAACGGGACACCCTCGCATTGATCAGGGGGTGCCCACAGCCCTTTCCATAGCTCATGCCCTGATTTTCAGCGTGGTGGGGGTACTAAGCCTTTTCAATCCTGTGTAAACAACCAGAAACTGCTCCTTCCCCTCGCGGAGGGAACTGTTGAATCCCATCTGAATGTTAAAGCCGACCTGGGCTGGCCAAACTTTGGGGTAGGCGTTCTTTGTCTCCCATTCTTGGCAACACCCATTGGACGTTGAGATGTGCTCCTTTGCTTGATCCTTCCTTTTCTGGATTTGTCTTGATGTTAAGTGAGTTTCGGCTAGAACATGCAGTGAGTGCGTAGTCTGTTTCGGGACATACGGGGCTTACAAAATCTACCACAAACACCGAGACACTCACTGGGGCGAATCGCATATATGACAGCGATGGATTGAGTTTGTGCGGGCAAAAGACCCGGTTTTGTTGTGTGGGTCAGGCTGCGGGCCAGCTTGGTTGAACATAGGATTCCAGTGGTGTCAATTTTATTCATGTACCACTGTCATATTTTGTTCCAAACCAAAACCTCACTTGCTCGAAGCCAATTTGGGGTGTTGTGTGAATTGATACTCAGTCCATCGGTACATTTTTCAACGTGAGTTTGCTTCGGGGTAGCCAAGAACAAACAATGGCGAGGCGCCCTCGAACCCGAAATGGTGTTCCAGGGTCTATGTCCAATCGACGACCATGCTCATTTCTTCATGGGTTGGTTTTTAATGCGGAAACATGGCTGGAACAAAATAAGGGACACCCTCAAATATCTCAAGCATAGTTGGTGGACATAAAGCCCCATGGAAACAATGTCCATCAAACGGTAGGTCCAGGTAAAACTGTCACGCATGTGTAGCACACTACGTTTTGAAGAGGTCTCAAAAGTGATGGCTTAAAACCAATCCATAAGAGAAATGCAAGGCTTGTATTCATGGCGAAACTGCATCCAGTTCGACGCAGAATGGCTGGGCGATGAACAACTCCTTGGTTTCCCTTTCCAGGTGGCCAGCATCTCTGCAAATTAGCGGAGAACCCCCTAAAAGGGGTCCCCAAAAGAATAGATTCTCCGACAATGTCTTTTTGGGTTCAGTGTTGAACTGGAGTGTAGTTATGGCTAGTGTTCCCTTCATAGCACGGAAGGCACAAACGACAACTTCTGTTGGACCCCATGGGTTCCCCCCCCCCTTCCCCCCCACATAGACCCCAGAGGGGTCTGTGAACAAGCGAGTGTGTCTTGTTCGGCGGTTACTTGCTTAAAGGGAGACCGTTTTGAGGAAACCACCAACTTCGGCGGTTCCTTAACAGTTAAGAGGAAACGCACAAAACCCTCATTGTTGTTGAACCTCCTTTTGGACCCCAGGGGTTTCATGTCATTTTTTGGCCCTTGTTTAAAAGACACCCCTAAGATTTGCCCAACGCTGCAGGCCGACCTCAAGAAGGAATGCCAGGTGAACGGCCTCGCGAAATGCCAAGACGGCACAACCTGCGGCAATGCCACCACCCCGCGCCTGGATTCGGATCAACGTAGAATCTGGCAGCGTGTTGTGTTTGAAGAAGGGGAGTGTTTGATGGTTTGTTTGCTAGAATCTTGCTGGTTTGCTTGCTTGCTTCTTTCCTTGCTTGCTCGCGTGTTTGTTGGTTTGCTTGTTTGCTGGCTTGTTTGCTTGTTTGCTTGTTTGCTTGCTTGGTGGTGTGTTTGACAGCTTGTTGGCTTGTGTGTTTGTTTGTGTGTTCTTGTTTCTTGTACGGGGCCCTTGCTTGCGTGTGTGCTTGCGTGTTTGTTGTTTTTTGTTGCTTGCGTGCGTGCTTGCCTGGTTGATTGCCTGTGTGCTTTGTTTGTGTGTTTATGTTGCTTGCGTGTGCAGTCAACTGCTTGCTTGTTTGCTTGCTTGCTTTCTTGCATGTCTTTTTGGGCGTATGTTCGCTACGAGCGTGACTGTTTGTCTTTTGATTTGATGGTTTCATTGGTTTTCTTGGTCGAGTTTTGTGCGGCTGTTTGTTTTTGCTTGCTTGCTTGCTTGCTTGCTTGCTTGCTTGCTTGCTTGCTTGCTTGCTTGCTTGCTTCCTTGCTTCCTTGCTTCCTTGCTTCCTTGCTTCCTTGCTTCCTTGCTTCCTTGCTTCCTTGCTTCCTTGCTTCCTTGCTTCCTTCCTTGCTTCCTTGCTTGCTTCCTTGTTTGCTTGTTTGCTTGCTTGCTTGCCTGGTTGTTTGTTTTGTTTGCTTCTTTGGTTGTGTACTTAGTTGCTTGTTTGTTTATTTGTTTGGTGGACCGCGGTGGACCTGGTCGTTGTTTTGTTTGTTTTGCTGATTTGTAGGTGTTGAGGTCTTCAGCTCGACCAACCCACAAAGAGTTGCATCAGACAGTGCCAGCGTCCAGGTCCGAGGAATCCTCCATGTTCCTTTTCGGAGAAGCTGCGCCGAAAGGAGGACACGGGTACTTTAAAGCCACAACTCCCTTGGCGGGGTTTTGCGGAAAGGCAATTCTACCGTGTTTTCTGGGAGCTTCATTGAACTCATTTTGTTTCAAGTTTGAGTGGAAATGGGCCAGAATCCAAATCATGCATTTCTGTATGTGCATTTGGCTTGGGTGCACACGTGTTGAGGTCGGCGTTTTGATTGGGGCTGACTCCGAGGTGCTGCCCAGACGGAAGCCTGTGCCCCTCCAGCAGCGATGAACACTCCAAGCTCTGCGTCCACCCCAAGCGTCTGAATTGCGTGAGGCACCAGACCAAGAAGTTTGCGGCGGAAGAGAAGGAGCTTCGTCAGGGATTTTCTCAATGGGTGTGACCTTTGATTTTGAGTGGTTGCACCTTGGTGAGCGTCATTTTCGGGTTGATTGCTTCATATGTCCACCTCCCACTTTCGAGCGATTTCCCAATTTTAAAGAGCCGTATATGTGTCCCCGTTTGATGGGTTTCAAGATCACATAATTGGCCCATGTAGGAATAGAGCAACTATGGAAACCCGTTGGTAGTTCAGTGGGTTTTCATACCACACGCACACAGCGGTGCCTTTGTTCAACCCTTTTTAGGGTGTTTTCCTGAAAATCGAAGTAACAAAAACCAGCATAGACCCCAGATAGCGCCCCCTGGCACGCAGCCGTGAATCTCGAAAATCACTTTCCCCTCTTCAGAAGGTAGAACCCAGAACGCTTTCTGCTTGGGGAAAGAGTGCTTCATGGCATTGGCCTGGTAGTGACTGTTACTGGTGGAAGCCATGTTGAACATCAGAGAAGAACACATATTCTCTTGGGTGCATGTTAGGACTTTAACTTTTTGCCAACTAATGGGTTTTCCATTAGACCTTTAAAAGTTAAACTTTTAGCAGGGAAGCAGAAAGCAACCGAGATCTGACAATCTTGTCCAGCAAGCCTGGTGGAAATAGAAAAAGAAACCCAATTCAACGGGTATGAAACAGGGGTACACAAACCAGCCTAGACTTTGACAGTTGTTTGGCGAAATCTCTTGAACGTCTCAAAACCTTGGCATTGTCTATAGTCCTTGGGGTGGCTTCACCCATTTTTTTGGTAACTGAAGGCGCCTTTGAGGGAACCAGCCCTGGGGAACCAGCCACTCACGTTGCCCAAACTCTACGGGTTTCCCATTTCTTTCACTCATTGCCTTTGAAGAGAAGGACTAAATATTTGCGGGAGTACTCTTCGGATTGTCACCCAGATTCCGGGTTATGAAAGGGATCCCCATTGCGGTTACCGGTTTCCCGACATCTACTTCTGGAATATTGATTGGCCAGCCCATTTTCTCGGGCCCTGGGGTCCAGGGAACCAGTTGTTTCCCAGTCCTGGGATAAGAGGTCCTTTCAGATGTGCCCACAGTGGGCCCACAGCGTCCTTTGCGTGGCAAAGGAGATGTGCGGGGTTGGAGATTGGGTGGCCTGCGACCAGTCGGGCGCCTACTTCTGCGCCGGCGACGTGTGCTGCCCCAACGGCAACACCTGCCCCTCCGGTAACCAAAACACCGCCCCCAACTGCGGCAAGAAGACGATCAATTGCGCCCCGGCTGGCTTTTGCCTTGCGGAATGAATTGGTTTTAGAGGGAACGCTCCAAGTAGTAGGAACAGCCCTGCACCGATTAGATCATTTGGGATGGGGAAGGGACGTTTCCCTTTTTGGACTGGGGTGTATGAATCCCCGCGCTTTTTGTTTTGGACTCATGCGGTACAACATCATGGGGTGCCCCAGTGCAGTGGATGTGGGACTTCTGTGATCATTTGTTTGAGATCCAGTCGCTCCACCATTTCCGTTTTTTTTGGCACAAAACCGTGAGCCTTGCATTTTTTTGGGTGATACTTGGGGATTCATTACTTTTGGAGGGGAACACCCCCATATTAATAAACAGGGGTTGATTAATCCGGGGTCAACATTACTTGAAAATGCAGGGGAATTATGATCGCTTCTGGCACCTGTCCTCTACTTGCGCGAGCTGACCCTTCTATTCGCTTGATAACTTTTGCGATCTGAACCGTGCTCCCTTGAGAAGCTTGTAGTTACGTAAGGAAAATCCAAATCAACATGAGAACACCTAAAAACAAAGTCACCACACCATACCGCCCGGAGGGAAATGTTTCGCACAAGCCCAAAACCTTTTGTTTGGGGGATGGTTTTCTGTTGGGGGGTGTTCTTCGAGTCGTTTGTTTCGTTTCTCAGATGTGACTATATTTGTTTCCCATGCAGCAGCTTTCTCATGGCATCGGATGCGAAGTTGCCTCTCCGCGAAGCTTATATTGGCATATATTTGCTCAAGTTCTAGTTCCGTTACCCTACTTATTCGCATGATTTGCTGGTGTGATGCAATCACAGAGGTTATTGTGGATGCGAATAATGGTAAATACGAGTAAATCGCATTGAAATAGATTTGGGTGGATTTCGTTTGGGCAGGGTGGTGTATCTTTGCGGTGATGTGTCCGCATCACCTCTTTGTCCATGTTCAACTACTGTTGTGCAACATCTCCGAAGAGTGGCAACATATTTGCTAGGATGTTGAATGCTTGTAGCTTGACCAAGCTATTGAAATCTCATCATATCATAGGCAAAACGAATCTAAACCCAGTTTTATATATGCTAGCCACATACTACACGGGATCCGAGCTGGATTTGAATGTGCCAGAAAGTATGATGAGATAGATTATGGAGAGTCCATGTTGAACACATGAATCCCGCAGACTGGAAGCTAGATGGAAGCTCTACACAGCCAAGGGCACAGAATTAATCTGCGACAAAAGCAGATACACGGCTAAAACTCCTTCCAAAGCGCCTTCAAAGTTGCTTATTGTCCATCATAGAAAAGCAGAGTTGTGCACGTAACGCAGGGACATTGGCCTCTCTGTCATTTGACCCCTCTTTGGGGTGTCCCGTTTTCCTCGACAGGCGTGACCGCCACCTTATTCAAGTGAGCGCTTGCTAAGCGCCGCATTAGGCCATTGGAAAACCGACCGGCCTCCCCACAACGACTGCCTTTGGGATGCGCGCTTGATCTGGACATTGGGGAAAGCAGTCGTTGGAGGGCGAAACGCCTGAAACGCGGAGATGTTGTCTCCCGAGCGTGAGCCATTTGGGAGAACGTATCAGGGCTTCTTTGGCTTATCCGAAGCAAACAGATGAGAAAAGCGCTCAGCCGGGAGACTGAACCATCAGGTCTATGGGGTTTCTGCCTCGCTGGCAGCACATTATCCTTGCATCTTAGGCTTAGTCTTGCGGTGGGTGCCCTCAATTTTGCCAGTAAGGGAACAAGGGGGACCCTCGAATTTACTTTAGTTACCATGGTTTTGCTGTTGAGTGTGGTTGGCGAATTGGAAGATTTAGGGCATCCACCGTATCTCTGGGAGTTGGACACTTTCGGACCAAGGGCCCGGACGGTTTTTTGCTAGGTCCGAAAGCGTCCATCTCCCCTAGAGCTACAGCTGAAGCAAGATTCGACTCGCTTATCATTTTCCCAACCAGCGAGTCCCGCATCTGCTTGCAAAGCACTGCAGAGAGTCTGCCAGATCCCACCCATCTTTTATTTCGCCTTAAGTCGCAGGACATTGAGGATGATTAAACAGGTCGCCTTTGTTCCTCGGTGGGGACGGAATCATTTTAGATCCAACTTGCATGGCGCACGCGACGTGACGAGTTTCGGTTTTCCTTCGCTGGGCCTTTTGGCTCTGCATCACCAGGCTTAAGTGGCCTGCCGACAGCCGAAATGAAATACAGCATGGGATCTAAACTCACTTCCTGAGTTCATGGACTTTAGTCACTTGTTGGGGTTGGACCATTTTAGTGTTAAACAACTTTTGGTTGGACAATCTACTCAGGATGTGAGTAAGAGTGAACATTTTGAGAGGTTCCCACAATATCTTTGCGGGTTCCGTTTCACCGATTGGAGGGTAAGTTTGAGGATGTTGCTTCAATTGACCCAGGGATGGTATCTTTGCCCAGCCACAGATTCAAATGAACTACCGGTTCTGCAGTGGAAGCTCGTCTAACAGGCATTACAAGATCATGGTTGGTTTGTGATGGGGTATGGCTTTCAGCCGAGCTGTTCAATGTTCTTGAGAAAAACTTGATTTAGGTCAGCTTGATGAATCCGGGGTTGTTATTCATGGTTTGGAGATGTTTGGAGCCTTACAGGTTCGCTATCACAGAATCATGATCGCCTTCTCTCCAAATCGCAAGGAGTCCAGAGTCCAGGGCTCCCCCAACTTCTAAACATCTCTTGTTAGGCCAATTTAAGTGAGAGCCCTTGAGGTTTGGGGCGCACATGGCTTGGTGCCAAATGTGGGTGTGCTTTTTTGAGGTACGCGCTTCAGGCCGGTTTGCAGGAACAATGGGACAGCATTTTGGGGTTTCCCCACATTTTGACACATACCCAAGTAGGCAAATAGCTCGAGGTGATTTCTGAAGGCCACTTGGCGTATGGCAGCTCGCAGCCAAACGCTTCCCCTTGAGAGATATGGGTGGCTCGTCTTTTGGAGTTGGCACCATTTTTTGGGGGTTGGTTTAATAGAAACACCATTTGTACAGGTCCCCTTTTTTGAGCAACACCCATGACCGGCCCATGTCCCACTAAAAGTTTATATCACTTTTAAGGGGCCAACAAACCACTAAGAAGAAAAACCAAAACGGTTTTTCTTTGGTTCTGACCCGCTATCCAGGTGGTCGCCTAAGGTTGGGCTTGGTTGAACGGGAGGCCGCCCGCCGCTCTCGGCTGAGGCGCTTCAGCCTGCAGGCGCGGATCTAAGCGGCTTCAAGCTTCACTCGGGCGGATCACTCGGGGGGTTTCTAGCACTTCTGTGATTAGGGAATCTCCCCCTTTAACATGGGGGTTAGTCTTTGGGAAGTTCAGTGTGATACTCCTCCCTTGGAAGAAGTCTTTGGGAAGACTGTGATACTTTTGGGGAATCTCCTCCCTTTTTTTTGGGCGGGGGTGTTACTTGGGGTTAGGCCCTGTTTGGTCGTATAGAAGTGGATTCCATTTTCCAGAGCCCTGAAAAGCTGACTTTGTGAAAACCCGTGACTTCTTTTGTTGTTGTTGGTTGTTTTCTTCCTCTTTGTTTTTTCTTCTCGCGCGCTACTTTCGACTCGCCCCTTCCCTTTGGCGGATCGTGGCACGCGCAGGCCCCGCCTGTTGGCCCTGCCTTCTCTTTGGCGGTGCGTGCGTTTGCATGCTCGGGTCTTGCCGCCTTCGTGCGCTGGCCCTGCCTTCTCTTTGGCGGCGGGTGTAATTGCACGCGCGAGCCCCGCCGCCTTGGCGCGCTGGCTCTTCCTGTTCGTTGGCAGCGCGTGCGTTTGCATGCACAGGCTACCGCCTTGCTGCGTTGGCCCTGCCTTCTCTTTCTCTTGACTCCTTGGTTGCAATAGACACCTTGCTCAGCCTTGCTCGAACTCCAAGCGGAGGGTGGCTTTTGTCGCCTTGAGAAGCAAGGGTTGGGCCGCAGCATGCTGCAGGTCGCTCTCCGCTCTCTCTCTGTCTATCTCTCTCTCTCTCTCTCCCTCCCTCCCTCCCTCTCTCCCTCCCTCCCTCCCTCGGCTTGGTTAGACGGTGGCTTTCCATTTTCATTGTACAAGACCACGGGTTCAAATCCCGAAGCCACCAATCCAAACCACCAATCAAGGCTTGCCTGTCTGAGACAACCCGAAGTTGGATGTTTGGATTAGTGGTTTGGGGAGAGGAACCTGTGGTTCATTTCAGAGGGCAAATTGGAAACCGCCCCCTAACCACCAAACCACCAACACAGACCACCAGGCAGTGGGAAGCTGAATTCAAGCACTATTTGAGATTACTGAAGCAGAAGCTGAATGTTCCGACGCGATGGAAAATCGGGTTTTAGGGCTTTAGGACCATGGACCATCGGGTTCTCAGTGATGGAGATGAGAATCTATCTCGGAATGGGCTCTTTTCCACAACCCTGCCGGTGTCCAAGGGGCCCTTGCAGATAGTTTCTTCCGGTGTCCAAATGGAACAGCCGCAGAAGGGGTGCTGATTTCTTTTCGATTTGACGCAGTCTTGCTTGGCAAGATCCAGCGGTGCGAATGCGCTGGCTTTGGATGAGGGGAAATGGGCTCATGACTTTCACAGTCTTACGAACTTGTTGCATATGTGTTTTTGTTGGGTTGTGTTGGCTACAGGGGTGTTATGGGGGCAGTTTGTTTGCAGTATTGCACACTTTGTTTGTTCAGGTTTGGTGGGTGCCGTGGTCTGTAGCGTTGGTTGCGCTCAAGTGGCCCGCCGCTTTTTCTCCTTGGCTTCAGGGGAAGGGGCCGGACAATGGGTTGAAGCGGGGGTTCGCTTGAATAGACACCCGCTGACAATTGTGTATATAATCTTTTACAGGATGGGCAACGGGGGTCACCTTTGTTTGACAACCACTTGCTACTTCATTTCGCCATGGGTTTTGAGCGGGAACACATCAACAAAGGGATTGGTGGACATGAATCCTCACCCAAATGATGTCCACCTGAGGGCCCCCTGTTGCAACTCGCACCCATTTGAGATACTTGGGTGCTTGTTGGTCACAGGGACGCACCAAGATGCTTGGGAGCTGTGCCAAAGGCCAACAGCCAACGGAGCGTTGATGTCCATGCCAGGGTATGCCAGGCTTATTGGTGCATGAGAGTTGGTATGATTCATTTTTGCGGTTTATTCAAGGACCATATGGACCCTTAAGGAGCACTAAGGGCAATGACATTCGCATGACTCCCCCTGCCATGGCTTTGAATCAATATGTTGATCAGTGTTGACTTCCTGAGCAAGTAGACGTCCTCTTGGGCACATCGCCATCCACTGAATGATTCACAAACTGGAAGCAAGGAACCCCCAAGGCCCCCAAGCGACCTTGGCTGAGCTTGCGCAAGCGTTCACGGGCGCCATGGGCGCGGTGGGCTGCCGAAGGTGTGAGGATGAGGTCTGCACTGGCTTCACCTCGCAAGATATGGTGATCCAGAGGCGCGATAACTACTGTGGACGAAGCCCCATTTTGCACCACTTTGACATCATGGGAACCTGTGGATGGACGAAATCCGCTCGCACCACCAAAGAAACCATGGTTGAAGCCATGTTTGTACAGGGGAGTCATCATTCCAGAATGTCTGAGGTGGTGCGGATTTCGTCCATCCACAGTATGGCAACTGACATTTCCCATGGCGCAGATCGTTGAGTGAGAGATGGCGTCCCGACTCATGTCGGTTTCGTCCCCTCCCACACGGGATTGTGCCATCTACTTTTACCCACGACCTGTGGAGTTGGCATGGAAAAGAAATTAAACGTTTTCAGCCAGTGAACTCAGCAGGAGAGAAGGAGAGACCAAACGGGGGTGCAACCATATTGTACTTTATGCCTGCTTCCCCTCCTGTATACGACTCAGATCCAAGATATCCATCTCAATAACCACGTGGTATCCGCAGTTTTGCTTGTCAAGCTGAAGTCCCATTCTACGTTCACAATCTTGAGGCACTGGCCTGTGACATTTGGTGATCATAGGTCTTGTTTTGCTGGGACTGGGTTGCTCCGAACCTCAAAACCATACCCACAGAAGAGTAAAAAAATGTGTTGGGTCCGGCCAACTTTCTACCTCTGGGTCTTTGGGAGTTGCACCCCGTTGGCGAGTTCGTTGAACCCGGAGAATTGCCATGGGTTTCAGTTGGGCTTAAAATCATTTGAGTCAAAACCTGCTATTCAAATGCTCGACCCAGAACCACATAAAGAATTAAGAAGGCGGCCGCAGCTATTTATGGTTGGGAGTGTCCCTTACTAACCTGCCTCTACCCGGGTTTTGATTGTAGGTCCGTTTGGGGTAAAACGAGCCCGTGATGAAGGTCCTTCGCTTGGACCGGCTGAGGATCGCGTTGGCTGGGAGCAGCCCTGAAAATCTACCCCCCACCAAAAAAGCTCTCCCTCCCTCCCTCCCTCCCTCCCTCCCTCCCTCCCTCCCTCCTTCCCTCCCTCCCTCCCTCCCTCCCTCCCTCCCTCCCTTCCCCCCCAAAAAAAAAAAACCAGGAAAAACACGACGGCCTCCGCCATGCCCAAAAAGCGACAGCCGGCAGGTCCCAAACACTGATGGACCAGTTGCAGGGCACCTGGGTCCGCAGCGACGGGGTGGAGATGGGCTTCTCAGCACATGGACTTTGAGACACATTTTAGTTTCTCCCTTTCCGTTTATCAGTCATGGCCCAAAATGATCACCATCTTGGCCCTTTGTTTTGGTCATGGCCCCAAAAAGCGATCACATGTTGCTTTTGGGCTGTTCGGCCACCCAGGCTTTCTGAGCGACCAGGAGATGCAGTGGAGCGCTGCCTTCAAGAAGATGGAGAGCACTATGGAGGACCCAGTGAGGTTCTGCTTCTTGGAGTTGGTCAATCCATGGCCCCTAGAGCAAAGCCAGGTGACCCTTTCACAACCCAAGGATTAAGGATCGCCTTGGAACAGCCCAGTTTTGGGGGGATACTACAAAAGGGAACAAACAGTAAGCCACGTATGTGTTTGGGGCGTACCAGGCCGCAAGTTCGGGGACGCAAGGAAAGCCATTGTGGGAGGTATGAAATATGGATTTGTTCGCCCAGTCTTCGTGATACGGGAATCCTGTTTAAGTGAGATGTAGTAGTCATGAGGAAGGGGATGCACAGAATGGGAGAACGAAATGGCTTTACTGTCCAGCACCATGGACCGATACGCTGACGCGTGGATAGACAAGATCCGCTTTGCACCAGTGGGTAGGTGGCTCATCCCCGTATTTGTGTTGGTTTCATTCATCTCAGCTGGTGCGGGATGTTAGCCAAAGCAGAATACCCCCCAAACCCTCAAAAAGGCGGCAAGTCCGGGAAGCGAGCAAAGAGGTTGGATCCATGGTGACCCTGAACGGAACTGGGATGTTTGTTGTATTTCTTCAGGTTCAAAAGATACGAGAATCTGTTGAAGGAATGAGGCACGAGCACTTCTATCCGTGACCAGTTTCCGCCGCGAGCTCCGTCACGTGGAGCCTTGGGAGCGCCAGGAAGCTGGGCCCTGGCGAGTGCGCTTGAAGTTCAGGGCCACAGGACAGTCTCGGGTCGGATGATGGGGTGAAAAAGAAACCCAGGGAGCCTGGGAATCTCTGAATGTTGGAACATCTTGGAACATCTTGGATCCTTTCCGCAACTAGCCCAGGGCTTTCGGATGCGAGGAGAAGTGCATGAGGGCAAGGTCTTCACGGAAATGCCTCCGACGAAGATCGAGTGGAGCGATGGGGAGATCTGGCTGCTGGCGGCCTGAGAGAAAGCCAATGACTCAACTCGGCCGCCTTTGGAGGGTCTTTTTGACATCCTGACATCCTCATTCCCTGAGTTGGGCGTTCGGGGAGTTTTTGGGGTTCTGCCACTTTGGCAAATGTCCCAGCCAGATGTCGTGTTGTGTGTCAGCCCAGTTCAGCGGGTGTTCCGGGCTCAAACAAAGGCGGCCCGTGCATGACTCGCCGGCAAAGCATCGGAGAAAAAGCAGAGAGACGCACGTGTCGGGTCTCAAGCGCCTCGAGCAAGCGTGAAGTTTCTGCGGGAAGCTGAAAGATTCGAAACTCAAGTCTGGTTTCAGTGCCCCCTGAAACCCTTGGCCAAATTTGCGGTTTATCATGAGCATGGTGTCAAGAGTGGAGGGAGCACCCTTCACAGAAACGACGCCCTTGACACTCACCGACGAATTAATCTGGTTAGAGTCATGTGTTGGCTTCCTGTCCCAAAGGGGAAACAGGTGAGTGTGGCTCAAAATGAAACAGCTTGGGCGCAGATTTTAGTCTGTTTTTCCATACACCAAGGTGACATTTGGAGCATTTGAGCCACATCCAGGTTGGTGTCATGTGTTGATATTGAATGATTGAATGTTGGGGCCAGTCTCTTGTCTCAACGGCCCGTGCCGAATCCACTGGCGGATTTGGCGGTCAGAATGAACACTGGCACGGAGCATTCTGCATGAGTCTCATTGAATTTGACCCCTGGACAAGAGTTAAGCTGGAATGAACCCTTCTTGGGACCAAAAAGTCGTACCCGCCAAAGAGGCCGCACAAAGCGCCGATGCATTGCTTTTCATGCCAGGTGAGAAAGCCGCATCCAGCCCTGCAGCCACGGCTGTGACGGCTGTGACGGAAGCGACGGAGGTGATGGAGGTGGCGGAGGGGGTTTTGCGTTCTCTGCTCCCAAGGAACCTGGCAATTCTCGGGAAATCTCGGGAAACTATCGCAACTTCAACGGCCTTTTTTCACCTTTTGGTTTTCGGGTCGCGGCCCATTTGAAGGTCCCAAACTGTTCACCTTGAGAAAACTCAGGTTCGTTTGGAAAGTGCAACGGATGTTGTGTCACTAACTTATGCCAACCAAGCTCAGGTAGGGGGTACATTCTCACACAATGAGACCTTGAACCTTGTAGCTGACTTCGTATTTCGAATCGCTGGAGGAGGAGGAAGATGAGGAGGCCATCTATGAGGTGGGCACACCAGCCCGCAAGAGTTCGTCCAGGAAACTTTGGTGGGAGAGGGCTTTGGCTCAGTGACAAGCAGATCCGGGTTGAAAGTTGCTTTGAACGTAACCAAGGCGCAAGTGAAGTCAGGTACATTCACAGAGGGCTCCCTGTATAAACAGAATCTTTTGGGCTAAGGACAACAAACTTGAAAGGAGTGGTGCCTTTTTTGCAGTTCGGGGTGCTGTAATTGCCCGAGGCATTTGCCCAAATCACAACAACATTTGAGGATTTCCTGCGCGGGGGGGTGGGGGAGGGGAGGGGTTCTTGCTTCCAATTTGGGAGTCATAGTAATCTTCCGTTTGCTTAAGCCCCCTAGAAAAAATCAACATAAAATCCAGTAGTGATCGATCTCTCTTTCAAAAGCAGCCAGGGAAAACAAACATGTTAAGCAATAAACCGTTTACAGCAACAAGGGACAATTACAAACATTATTGAGCAACTAATTATCTTAAACACAGCAAGGATAAAGTGAAGCATATTCCTTTCCCAGAGGCTCCCGATTGATTTAGGGCCCTCAAATAGCCAGGTTTTGAGACACCCGAGGCGCACCGTGAAGAGCTTCTGGCGATGCTGCGAAGCGGGGGCCAGGCGCGGCGGGCGGCCATGTACGGCCTATCCGGGGTCCAGGCACTGGAGGCCCAGAAAAAAAGGTGATCACCTTTTCTTCCAGTTGCTCAAGTTTCTTGTTGACTTATTATTATTATTTTCCCTTGTTGGTTTTAAAGGATTTTATCACGACTGGACATATTTTCCGGGGTTCTTCACCAAATGAACGTTTTGAGAGAAATAAGAATGGGTTGCCGAAAAGGGTAAACTAAGATATCAAACAGGTGAACAACTTGGGCAAGCGAGTATCAGATGTGTTTCTGCTTCAGTAAGAAAATGCCCCTCTCACCAATATTCGTGAAACCTGACTCGGGGCTCCTGGAAGACCATGTTCCTTTGAAACACCCTCTGGCGGGTTCCATGTTACTGGACGGGAGGGTATCTTTTCTTGGACCCTTTGACATCTTGTTTTAGCCTTTTTAAAACGAAACATGAAGGACACAGGTGCAACCGATATTGGGACCCGTTCTTTTTGCACGACCCTCAGTTGTGAAGGATCCGCCTGTTGAGCCGAATTGTCAGGGTTTCAGTTTTTACAGTTCCCTCCCTGAGTGACACAGGAAGCCTAGGCGTCTGAGTGCACTTAAGAGACCCTGCATAGATAAGGCTTAGGTACTTCCAAACCACCCAAACCTGGGCAGGTTGAAGGCAGGGGCCTTCGGCGGACATCCTCTCCTGTCACGCTTAGCACGGTCTACTTGACCTCCATTGCTGAACGAAATGTTATATTTTCTCATGTGGGTTTTAAAGGGAACCTATGACTACTGGAAATATATGATTTTTCCAGGCGGCACGAACAAATAGAAGTTGAGATGCGGTTCGCAGCCACGACGAGCTGGATTGGACCAAGGCACTCTACTGAAACGGTGTGTAGCCCTTGTTTTTGTTTTTTTTTGGTTCAGCTGTTTGAAGCAACATCAGGGAATAAACGGGCTGTCAGACCCCGAATCACGATCTGGGAATCCCTTGGACCAGGTGTGTCCTTGTCATTGGTCGTGTGTGTTCGGCGGTTTCGCCTTGTCGGCTCAGTTCATTCCGCTTGTTTGGGCTCTGGAAATGTTCCGCAAAGCCCCTGCGGTTCCACGCATGACCTGGCTCAGCCTTGCGAGCACGTCTACCTTAAAGGTCACAAGCTTCCCATCCGCCACCAGCTGAAGAATCTGAAGAACCCGTGTATGTTTCATTTCCCTGAGGGAAGCCCCGCCAACACTTAGAATTCAGCTTTCCCATTGAACGTTTCACCAATGCTCTCATTTTGCTAGGCCGTCGCGACGCGCGCCTCCTCCTTTGATTCGAATCGGCCGACCCGTTTTAGTTCCCGCTGGTCCACTAGTAATTTCTGGGTCTGAAGCCTGAGTTCAGTGCCAACAAAAACACCCCAGATCCCGGGATTAAAATGACTCGGGATTTGTTCGTGGTTCCATGGCATGTCTTTTTTGAAGTTGGCACCCCACGGTTTTGGGGGTTTCGAAGGGAAGGCAACAGGAAGACCACTGTGATACGGGGGGTCCCCTAAAAAAATGACACACCCATGTTAATCTCTAGGCATTTGATGTCCAGGCCAAGCTGCAAGCGCGAACACCAGGCACGGAGCCGGGCGTTTTGTCGTTCAGGGCTGCCGAGCCATGTCCCTGGTTGGACCCTTTAACAGTGCAGTGTCAATGGAAACCGCCAGTAAATTGCAGCTTTTGGAGTTTCATGGTGGAACCTAAACTTTGGTTGAATCCCAAACTCTCGAGTTGTAATGGTTGAATCCGCTCAGTGGCTGGAACCAAAGACATTCTGCTTCACCGATTCAAACTGCGAAGCTTGGTGAGTTACCTTGGTTTGCCAACTTGAAGGGGCGGGTGAAAGCCCGCATGCCGCGTTCTGTCGGAGCCTCTTGTTTCTATTGAGCCTATTGCGGGGCAGGCGGAGTTGTGCTTTCCCTCGGGCTCCATGTCTCCGAAATGAGCTCCTGAAGTTGATATCAGGTAGGCCGTCCTCAGCCGGGACTTGCCTGCAACAATCCCCCACGTCATTTTGCACCAATGAGCCACGACTTCAAGCCACCAGTTACTGCCACAACACATGTTCAAATCCAGCCCTGAACTAGAAGCCTGCTGCTCTTGCAGGTTCACATGGAACCATCAAGACATGTTTCAGGATTTGGTCATGTTTGTTGGGTTCCATGTTGATTTGCCGAATTGTTTCTCAACGGACGTCGGAGCCGGCTGAGGCGGCGTGGGCCTTCTGAATCAGGGCGTCGGAGGCTGAGTGCTCTGTTCAAACACAGACGGCAAAAGCTGAGTTCTGCTTTTGCCTGGGGTTGTTGTGACTTTCTGCAAAGTCAAAATTCTGGCAAAGAACAAAACAAGGGGCAACCTGTCGACTCCCAACAAGGTCCGCATAGCAGGAGGGGAAGGCCTCGATATGTCTTGTTCTTTAGCCACCTCGGCTTTGAAGGCGACAGCTGACAGAACTGAGGCCACTTGCTACATGAACTCCCTCTTGCAGTCCTTGTTCAACATCCCCGAGTTCCGATTGGCGGTGTACCAATTTGCCGCTCGGCCTTGGCGCATTGCAGGGCATTGGGAGCAAATGGCCTTCGCCCAGCATCGGACTACTCGTTGGAACCTGGCTGGCTGCTGAATCGCAAGGCAAAATTTAGCCCAAGGCAAACAACCTGACTGGCCGTTTTTGTTTTTTCTTTTTTGCCAAGTAAAACTCAGTCCAAGGGAAACCCCTTCATTTTGGCCACCCGATTTTGCATCCGGTACCCTTGTGGGCGGGACCGTGTGGTTTCCGAGGAGCATGACCCACAGCTACACGGAGATGCTGCTCGCTGCGCCTTGGCAGAGGTGGGAGAAGGCATATGGGGGCCGTCCGTAATTGCATGTCTAAAACTTATGAACAGGGGCAACTTGTTGAACCGCGCGATTGGGAAAACTCGCGCCGCGAAAGGCTGGCGATTGGACCGCGAAAGGGCAACGCAAATATTGTGAATTTAGACGCTGCATGGTGTTTAGATTGTGGTGCCGACGCGCGTCTCGCTCTTTGTAACTCACGGGCTCGCACAAAAGTCCCTCCTGGAAAGCTGAATGTCGATTTCGTTTGCGCAGGCAGGGGCCGTGCTTTTCACCGCCGAACGCCGCGGTTGGACGGCGGTTGGACGAGTTTCGCCAGTCAGCCCCCTGCCCATCCAAACTACATCGCTTCCTTGAGGTATGGATGGAGGAAGGCCAGCGCATGAGATAAGACAGCCAAAAGCGAAGCAGGAGCCGCGATGACCAACGTTGCTCCGCGATTGGACCCTGTGGGATCGCGATTGGATCGCGGTTGGCCGGCGAGGGTTTTGAGGCAAAGCAATTTTGTACAACCCCCATATGAGTTGGATATCTCCAATGGGCGGAATGGGCTGGTATGCCAGAATGAAGTTACGTTGTTTTATGTTGCTTTGTTCTTTGCGAAACTGATGACCAGGTGCAACAATCTGGCCACCATACTGCAATTCAATTGGGACATCCATTTTGGGTTAGCTTCATGTTCCCTTTCACCGTGAAGCAGTCGACTGTTTGCGGGGGTCTAAGTCTGGCCAAGTGACACCAATGTAGCAACCCCAAGGGTGGAACGGCGATGGTGCGTCACAACTGTTTTGAGGACATCCCCTTTGGGTTGGTCTTAAGCCACCATTTTTGGGGTCCCCTACGAAAAGACGCACCCATTTGTTGTCGGTGTTCGTCACCATTGCCCTCTCTGAACATTTCCACTTTGAGAGTACATGGCTCCATGTATGGTTCACACGGCAGTCGCCTTCAGCACTACTTGGGCTCCAGAAGAAGACAGGCCCTCCCACCGAACCTCCATTGCCAAGTTTCGTTTGGGCGGTCCATACTCCCTGTTGTCCAGCAACCAGCTTTCCGTTGACAGATCTTGTGGTCTGCCCATTGTCTAGCATCTGCGGTTTCCCATGGCACTTAATTTGCGAAGCCACATGTGAGGTTAGTGACGTGTAAAAGCAACCTTCGTTGGTTGCCTGTGATGTTTCAACACTCCTTCAAAGGCGGTTCCCTCAAAGGACTCCTTTTGACAGCGGACGTGCTTGTTAATGAGCAAACGCCAAACTCTCAGAGCGAATTGGAACTTTGGCCGCTTCCCCCCAACCACTCCGCATAGAACCTAAGCAACAGAGGTCATTCCAAGACTTACACCAGGAACATCGCTGATGTCCCCAGAGGTTTGCCATGGTTTCCCCTGGGCCCACCAAGCGAACCCCAAAAATCGGCGGGACCGAGGCATCCCCATGCAGCTCCAGCGGCTCTTCGCCCAGCTGCAGCTCTCCAAAGCCTCGGCGGTGTCCACCAAGGACCTGCAGCTGGGACTCGCGGCTCGCGCCCGTGGAGAGTGGCACCAGGCCCAAAAGGTCAGCCAAGACATAGAGAGTTTCCATGGGCCCTTGTTGGTCATCAGAACCTGCCTAGACTTAGGATACATCTTACATTTCACCAGTGTCTCAAAGTGACGCAACCAATAGAAAATACGTTCAATAACTGGGCCTAACTCTAATCATGAGAATTTGGGCGTTCAGGTCACCAACCACTTGTGAGGCGTCCTATTAAAACTTACAGCCGTTGCCCTCACAAAAAGCGCTTCGGCGCATGGTAAAAGTCCGACCCCGAGTTGCTGGATGTGCTCGTGTGTTTTTCCGGCAAAGCCGGAGTTTTAGCTTTTGGAAACAATCTGTCTACCCTTGACATAGACGAACTGAGGCAATTGTTCTTTTCAGGGAATCGCTTTGTACCCAGTATCTAGAAGCAACACGGGAAACATGTTTTCAGGTGCTTCCAAATTCAAGGAGTTCAGTCCAAATATTTGACCCCCCACCCACCCACCCACCCACCCACGCACCCACCCACCCACCCACCCACCCACCCACCCGCCCGCCCGACACCCCACCCAACCCAACCCAACCCAACCCAACCCAACCCAACCCAACCCAACCC